TCTGCAAAACCAACACTTCTCTGAGCCACTCCGAAACCATCTGAAACTCCTCTATAAACCTCTTAACCGCTCCCCACCCACCATCAGGCAGTGACCCTTAGCAATGGAGGCAGTGACAGCAGTGGGTCAGCAGGGATTGTTCACAAGCAACACTCCTCTGTGCCAACCTCTAACTCCTCCCAAATCCGCCACATACCTCTCAACCCCTCCCTACCGCCAGGCAGTGCCCATTCGCAATGGAGGCGGTGACAGCAGTGGGTCAGCTGGGGCTGTTCGCAAGGCACACTCGTTTAAGCCATTTCTCAACCATCTATAACTCATGCATAACCTTCTTAACCACCCCCCACCGCCAGGCAGTGCCCATTCGCAATGGAGGCGGTGACAGCAGTGGGTCAGCTGGGGCTGTCGGCCAAAGAGACGTGCGCTCTGCTGCCCCAGCAAGAGGTGAGTCCTTGTCCGGACAAACAGTCTTGTGAATTCTGATGCGCCTGAAAACAGCTGGGGCTGTCGGCCAAAGAGACATGCGCTCTGCTGCCACAGCAGGAGGTGAGTCCTTCGTTGGTACCATTGCTGCTGCAAGTGACCCCACTACCAGTCTATTTTTTAAGCGCCTCTGAAACAGCTGGGGTTGTTGGCCAAAGAGACGTGCGCCCTGCTGCCGCAGCAGGAGGTGGGTTGAGTCTTCATTCTGCTTCACTAGTGGTACCGGAGCAGAAAATGGTTATAGTTTTTGATTCCTTTGGGCCCTCCTGCTGATGGCTCCAAAAGTATCCAAAGATGCCTTTCAGCTTTTTTTTTCCGCGATAGTATTGAGACTCATTAAAATATCGAGACCACTATATTGCTGAGCTATCGGAATCACCACCACCGATGCGTGCACCAAGGTTCAAGTGTTGCAACTGGTTCATCTCAGTAATTGGTTTATTTGTTTTGGGTGGCTCAGAAGTCACCCCACTCACACCAATAGGAGAATCACTAACAGGCTGTGAGGAGCAAGCCTCATTGCCCCTGTCAACCCTCCCCTTTCTCTCCCTGTTTCCCCCCATCAACCCCACGCATCCCAACCTCCGCACCCTCCCCATCCCACTCCCAATGCCCTCCCCATCCTCCCCATTTCATCACCCCACAGCCTCTACCCAGCACACCCAGCAGCAGAGGGGGCAGCAAGGCAGGAGCAACAGGGGAAGTGCATGAGTCTTGCAAGTGGCTGCAGGTAGTGACTGTAGCAGGTAGAAATTGTGTTGGGTGTGGCTCTGTTAACTAGTGATTATATCAAATAGTGAAAATTTCAGGGAGTGACTGTATCATGCAGTTGTGACATAATCTGTGGCATATCCCCATCATGACGGGTGTATTATTTCGCCACATGGTAATCACCTCCTGTTCCGCTGTGGGCATGTGTGTGGCTGCTACGTATTGCCGTGCCTATGGGTGTGCGCATTGGTATGTGCATGGGTGAATGGTTTTCTGCATGAGTGTGTGCATGGGTGTGTGCATGGGTGTGTGCATGGGTGAATGGTTTTCTGCATGAGTGTGTGCATGGGTGTGTGCATGGGTGTGTGCATGGGTGGGTGTGTGCATGGGTGTGTGCATTGGTATGTGCATGGGTGTGTGCATGGGTATGTGCATGGGTATGTGCATGGGTGCGTGCATGGGTGTGTGCATGGTTGTGTGCATGCGAGCATGCATGGGTGCATGCGTGGATGCATCCTTGGGTGCACACGCATGGGTGCATAATTATGTGCATGGTTGTGCGTATGGGTGCATGCATGGGTGCATGCATGGTTGCATGGATGGGTGAATACATGGGTGCCTGTATAATTGCATGCATGTGCGGGCAGAAGTATGTGGAGGCACAGGCACACCGAGCAGCCAATGAGAACGCAGGTGAGAGCAGGAAGATAAGTAACTTAGTAACACAGGCATGCAGGCAGATAGTAAATGTAAGGAAAACAGCAGTGAATGCTTGCAGTTTACTGTACATAGCGCATACTCTTTTAACGATGATTATTCTATTTCGGCCTATCTCTGCAAGTCACGGATCCAAGTCCCACTGCTACCGGATCAACACGCATGTCTGGTTGAAATACCTCACGCCCCTCACCCGTCAACCCCCCAACCCTCACCGCTGTCTCACTCTCCCATGCCATGCCATCCTATAACCCTCACCTCATCCCATGCACCCCACGCCCCTCACCACGTGGCATGACAGCCAGCCTGGACGAGTATCAGCAGCTGGTGACTCGCTTCCCCAGCAATCCCTGTTTTCTCATTGCCTCTTACCCCATCCCATGCATGCCACGCCCCTCACCCCATGGCATGACAGCCTGTGTGGACGAGTATCAGCAACTGGTGACTCGCTTCCCCAGCAACATCTGTCTTCCCTCACCGCTCACCCTGCGCCCCCCTTACCCCTCATCCCTGGCGGCGCCACCCCACATCCCTCATCCCATGCGTCCCACATCCCACGCCCCTCGCCACGTAGTATTATTACAGCCTGTGTGGACGAGTATCAGCAGCTGGTCACTCGCTTCCCCAGAAACGTCCCTTTTCCCATGCCTCTCACCGCACACCCCTCATCCCGTGCATCCACATCCCACATCCCACATCCCACCCGCCTCACCCCATGGCATGACAGCTTGTCTTGACGAGTATCAGCAGCTGGTCACTCGCTTCCCCAGCAACGTGCACCTACACTTACACATGGGGCAGGTGAGTGCTCCGCATGTGGGTGGGCAGGTGAGTGCTCCGCATGTGGGTGGGCAGGTGAGTGCTCCGCATGTGGGTGGGCAGGTGAGTGCTCCGCATGTGGGTGGGCAGGTGAGTGCTCCGCACATCACCCCTGTACTTCCGTTTTGATTCACCACACAGTCACCCATCCTAGCCAAACCCATCTCGTGGCATGTGTTTGCTCATGCCGTGTTTCATTCCCTGTGTCATGCTCTGTGTCATGCTCTGTGTCATGCTCTGTGTCATGCTCTGTGTCATCCCCTGTGTCACGCTCTGTGTCATGCCTTGTGCTGCGCTCATCACCTTCAGGTGGAGGCATCGCAGGGTCGAAATGAAGAGGCCATGCTACACTACCAAAAGGTGCTCTCGCTATAGTCACTACCAAAAGGTGCTCTCGCTATAGTCACTACCAAAAGGTGCTCTCCTTATAGTCACTACCAAAAGGTGCTCTCCTTATGGTCACTACTAGAAAATGCTCTTCCCATTCTGTTCCCCTTGTGCTCGCATCTTCCCCTGCAAGTGATTCCGTCCTCTGCTGTTGTACCGCTTGTCTTGTCCCATTCTCCATTCCCTCCCATTCGACTTTCGAGGCGCCTCAAAAGTGTTCCCCTTCTCCTCTTATCTTCCCCTGCAAGTGATTCCTTCCTCTGCTGTTGTACCGCTTGTCTTGTCCCATTCTCCATTCCCTCCTTGTGGCTATGCCCCGCTGCTGCTCCTCTCCCGCCGCTCCCTGCTGCTGCTGCCGCTCATTTTGTTCATCCCTACCCCTTCCCCCTCCCAGGTCCGCACCCTCGATCCTTTCAACGTCGCCTGTATGGACGGCTATGCCACGCTGCTGCTGTCACTGGTGCTGCAACTGCTGTCACTTGTCTCATATTCCCTGTCAAACCCCCTCACGCTCTCCCTCCCCCCCAGGCTCGCACTCTAGACCCATTCAACGTGGCCTGTATTGACGACTACGCCCTGCTCCTCCTCTCCCGCCGCTCCTGCTGCTACTGCTGTCAATCTTCTCATCTTCTCATCCCTTTTCTTGTATCCACTTTCCACTCCTTCAGGCCCGCACCCTAGACCCCTTCAACGTGGCCTGTATGGACGATTACGCCCTTCTCCTCCTCTCCCGCCGCACACCCTCCGCCTCCTCCGCCCTCTCCCCCCCCAACCTGCAAGTCGACGCCAGCGTGGGGGGAGCAGGGGGAGCGGGGGAGCGGGGGGAGCAGGGGGGGCGGAGCTAAGGAGGCTGACAGCGGAGATGGTGGGGGTGGGGGCGGGGAGGGTGGAGGCGTGGGTGGTGGCGGCTGCGTTGTGGATGAGTCGGGGAGAGCGAGGCAGCGCGTTAGCTTATGTGGATAAGGTGGGTGGATGAATGGGGTGGGTGTGGGGAGTGGGGACTAGGTGGGGGCGGGGAGGGTGGAAGCATGGCTGGCTCTGTGGATGAGCCGAGGGGAGAGGGGGAGTGCACTGGCACATGCGGATAAGGTGGGTGTGTGGATGGGATGAGGGGATGGGATGAGTGTGGGGATGAGGTTGCTGTGCTGGCGTGTCTTGGAGAGTAGGCTCTGTTCCCTGCCGATGGTATTTTTGAGAATTCTCAAAAATACCCTGCTGGCATGTCTTGGAGAGTTGGCTCTGTTCCCTGCTAACATCGCTATCAAGCTCCTCACCCTGCTAACGCTCCTCACTCCGCTCGCGCTCCCTGCTAACGCCCCTTGGTCCACCCCCGCGCTCTTCAATTGGACGACCATCAGTCCTCTGCTCTCCTTGCTTTGTTCGCCCATCTACCATCTTCTTCCCCTTACCTGCCACCTCCCCCACCCGCTCCCTCCCTCCTCTCCCGCCCTCCTCCTCCTCCGGTCCACCCCCAGGCTCTTCAACTGGACGACCATCAGTCCCCTGCTCTCCTCACCATGACCCACCCCTACCACCTCACCCACCTATCCACCCACCCACGCACCTTGTCATTGCCTCACCTCTTCTTCCTCCCCCCGTCCACCCCCAGGCTCTTCAACTGGACGACCATCAGTCCCCTGCTCTCCTCACCCACCTCCTCTTCTGACCTTCCACAAACTCCCTCCGCTCCCTCCCTTTCCCTCCCTCCCTTTCCCTCCCTCCCTTTCCCTCCCTCCCTTTCCCTCCCTCCCTTTCCCTCCCTCCCTCCCTTTCCCTCCCTCCCTTTCCCTCCCTCCCTTTCCCTCCCTCCCTTTCCCTCCCTCCCTTTCCCTCCCTCCCTTTCCCTCCCTCCCCGCCTTCCTCCTCCCCCCGTCCACCCGCAGGCTCTTCAACTGGACGACCATCACTTCCCGGCTCTCCTCGCTAAGGTGCGCCTTCCCCTCCCTCCCCTCGCTCACCTCCCTCCACTCCCTCCCCACCCGCCCCACTCTTCCCACCCTCGCCACCCTCCCCTCCCTCCCCACCATCCCCACTCTTCCCTACCTCCCCTCCCTTCCCTTCGTTCCCCCCTTCCCTTCCCTACTCTCCTTCTCATCACCTCCTTTGGTTATCCTTTCCCTGCTACGCTATCCTGATATGGACTGTCATGCTGTACAATTCGCCACGCCTACTCCATCTCTCTTCATTCCACGTGCACTGGTGACCATCTCTCCCTCCTTCCTCCTCTCTCCATGTCCCTCCCTCCTTCCTCCCCTCTCCTCCCCTCTCCGTTCCTGCCAGTGTGCCATTCTGCTGCAGGCAGAGCAGTCACAGTAAGCAGCAGCAGTGGCGTTTTGAGACGCAACCCCCTCTGTTTTCCCCCACTTCTTCCCCCCGTTCTCCCATCCATCCCCAGCCCCCATCCCATATCAGGCCGCCATTTTGCTGCAAGCAGAGCTGTAGCTCCAAAGTCAGCCAGCAGCTGTAGCTCCAAAGTCAAGCACTCCCCTCAGGCATTTGTTCATATCCACCCCACTTCTCTCCACCCCTCTCCGTCCCTTTCCACCCCTCTCCACCCCACCTTTCCCCCCCACCCCCATCCCCATCAGGGCGCCATTCTGCTGCAGGCCGAGCGGTCGGAGTCAGCAGCAGTGGCGTGTTGAGGTGTCCCCTTATTCCCTTTCCTCGCTCCTTCCCCCCACTTTCCCCCTTTTCCCCCCTGGCCATCCCCCCTCAGGGTGCCATCCTTCTCCAGGCCGAGCGGTCGGAATCAGCAGCAGTGGCTCTCCACCCCTCTCCACCCCTCTCCATCCCCCTTTTCCCCCCTGGCCATCCCCCCTCAGGGTGCCATTCTTTTGCAGGCCGAGCGGTCGGAATCAGCAGCAGTGGCGTCTGCTGCAGCAGCCATTTTCCGGAGAGCTTACACACAGAAGCAGGACCTGCGGGTATTCCAAGGTAAAGGGGGGGGAGGGGGAAGTAGGGCGGGTGGGTATAGGGTTTGTGTATGCGAAGAGGAGGTGAAAGGAGAGCGTACACTCAGAAGCAGGACCTGCGGGTGTTTCAAGGTTAGTAAGGGGTGGGTTTGGGACTGTGTAGGGGGAGGAGGTGAAAAGGGGGCCTACACAAAAGCAGCAGCCATCTTTCGAAGGGCGTACACACTAGCAGGGCTTGTGGGTGTTCCAAGGTGGGTTAAGGGTGTGTGCGGGGTAGGGTGGGTTGGGGGCGGGGAAGGTGGGCAAGCTTTGGAAAGGGGCATTAATCCAGAGTCAGTCAACTCCTGTCAGTCAGCTCCTGTCAGTCAACTTCTGTCAGTCAATTCCTGTCAGTCAACTCCTGTCAGTCAACTCCTGTCAATCAACTCCTGTCAGTCAACTCCTGTCAGTCAACTCCTGTCAGTCAACTCCTGTCAGTCAACTCCTGTCAGTCAACTCCTCTCTGTCAATTCCTGTCAGTCAACTCCTCTCTGTCAACTCCTCTCTGTCAACTCCTCTCTTTCAACTCCTGTCACCCCAGCTTCTTTTTCCAAGCGTGATTTAAGGCCACTTCTCCTCTTCTTACAGGTCTGGTCCGAGCCTACCTGTGCATTCCGAAGCTGAAGGAGGCCATTGCAGCGGCTCGGGAGGCAGTCAAGGCGTTTCCCAACTCTGCCAGCGCTTTGTCTCTTCTGGGGGAGGTGTATCTGCAGCACAGCGACAGCAGGGACAAGGTAATGTAACCACGCCCTCTACCTCTTTTGGTTCAGTGTTTCCTGATTAAGGTGATTCTTGTAATTTGTTCTCTTCAGTTTCTGAGGCGCCTCAAAAATAAGGTGTTTCTTGTATTTTGATCCTTTGGTTTCTTTGGGTGTCAACTCCTCAAACCCAATGTCGTTGCATGGGAGGTGGTTCAGGTGGGCATTGCATGTGAGGTTTCAGCATGCGCTGTACAATGTGCTTTGAGTTGTCTGCTCTTTGTCTCGTTGAGGCTTCAGTGGGGGCGGGATGCACGCACACACGCAGGCCCTACCCCCCCCTTCTTCACACACGCATGCACACACCCCTGCAGCGCACTAAGGGCGCTGTGGCACTGCATCTGTCACATCATTTTGCTTCCTTCTGGTACCCCCCCTTGTTACATCACCTCCACCCACTTTCTCCCCCGCACCTCGGCATGCAGGCGCGCAAAGTGTTTGAAGCGGCACTGCGGATGGACGGCCGCTGTGGCGCTGCTGTAACGGGCCTGGCAGACGCGCACACCATGGACGGGCGCCATGCTGCTGCCGTTGACGTGTGAGTGGCTGGTCCTGTGCACCCCTGTGAACCCCTCTGAACCCCTGTGAACCCCTGTGAACCCCTGTGAACGCATATAAACCCCCAAAAGGCACAGCACAGGCCGACGCTCACACCATGGACGGGCGCCATGCTGCTGCTGTTGACGTGTGAGTGGCTTGATGCCCCTTTGAACCCCTTTGAATTCCTGTGCAACCGAGTGCACTTGTGTGAGTTCCCCCTCATGGATGGAGGTAAAGCACAGCACAGGCAGCATCACAGTTCAGCATAGATGGGCTGCATGCTGCTGCTGTTGACGTTTGAGTGGCAGCATAGTGTCATGAAGCTCAGCTCTTCTGCAACCTCTGCTCGGAGAAATCATAAGCTAGATCGTAAGCGGTGCAGCAGAGTACTGGGCGGTGGTAGTACAGTGCTGTTGTGGTTGACGTATGAATGCTCTCCTCTGTGGACCTGGCTTTCCTCTCGGAGTTGATGGTATTAAGGCCGTCGCAGTCCACATGTCCACTATTGACACGACGATCAGTGCAGCAGAGCATCGGGGGATGGTAGTACAGTGCTGCTGTGGTGGGCGTGTGAGTGCTTTCCTGTGTGGACTTGGCTTTCCTCTCACAACCCCCCTTTTCCTTCCAGTTCCATACCACCAGGGTGGAGCGCCGACGGGCAGTGGACGCTGCTTTGAGCTGCCAGAACAGTTATGCTTTGCCTCTCCCTCTCCGTGCGCGCATACCACCAGGCTCGAGTGCCACCTGGCAGTGAGTGGACGCTGCTTGTGCAACTCCCAAAAGCAGACACACATTCCCCTCTCTCTCCATGCATGCATGCCACCAGGCTGGAGCGCCACCTGGCAGTGGACGCTGCTGATTGGATCCACGTGAAGCTGGGATTCGTCCACATGGCGGCCAACCGGCTGCCTGACGCTCTGCACCATCTGCAGACGGCCCTCAGGTGACGCTGACGTGGCACGCTCTGTCCCAAATGATCAAACATGGCACTTGTAATGACATCCAATGACATACTGGTACATCCCATGACATGCCATGACATGCCATGACATCCCATGACATGCCATGATATCCCATGACATTGCATGCCATGGCATCTGTTGCCCACAACCCCATTTCCAGTTTCCTCTCCCGAGTTATCGTTCTGCTTGTAGGCATGCCTGCATGTTAGCATGCCAGCAATTTAGCATGCGGCATGCCCGCATGCCACATGCCCGCATGCCACATGCCCGCATGCCACATGCCCGCATGCCACATGTCCGCATGCCACATGCCATGACATCCCATGACATGCCATGACATCCCATGACATTGCATGCCATGGCATCTGTTGCCCACAACCCCATTTCCAGTTTCCTCTCCCGAGTTATCGTTCTGCTTGTAGGCATGCCTGCATGTTAGCATGCCAGTAATTTAGCATGCGGCATGCCCGCATGCCACATGCTCGCATGCCACATGCTCGCATGCCATATGCTCGCATGCCATATGCTCGCATGCCACATGCCTGAATGCCAGCTTGGAACATGTCACCTGCATGTGCTGGCTTCCAAAAATCAATGGTCATGTGTGCATGTACGTGGGCATTCAATTGAAGCCTCATTCACACACATGCACACATGTGCGCAAACATGCACTTGTGTCCTCTCACCCTTATGCACTCACATATGTGCAGTCACCTGCATGCATGATGCATGCACCTGTGTGCGAATTCTTGTGCCTGTGCACAACCACTAACGACATTATTGTCTGCTGCCTCTTGCATGCGCCTATTTGCCCTTGCACGCACTGCCACGTCAGCATCAATCCGACCAATGAAAACGCCAAGAGAGGGCTCAATCGCATCGACAGGCTTCTCAAGGTGATCCCTATTGATTCACTTGTCATGTTATGGTATGCAATGGGATGACAAGTCGTGAGTCGTGACATATCCCCACGTCACACTCCATAAGACGCTGTCCCATGCCATCCATTGTAGTACCGTAGTACGGTACTATTCATGCCATGCCACGCGCATCCCACTGCCATGGCATAGCAAGGTGACTTTTGAGTTGACTCAAAAGTCACCTCCATTGTTGTACTGTACTACTACCACGGTAGTAGTACAGTATTCATGCCACGGCATCCCACTGCCCTTGCACAGCATCAAAGTCTGTTTTTTCCTGTTGCTATATGGTACGGTAATCAGCCATACGCGGTACCTCTAAGACCTTCTCTCGGATCTGATTGCTTACAGGGAGGTGATGGGGATGATGAGGAGGAAGAGACCTCCATGCAGTATGGTACCGGCAGTCCCCTCTTCGAATGACACGTGGCACCAGAGTGGGCACTGTTTTAGCTTTCACAATACTTTTCTCAATGGATCATTGTTTTTGTATACATAGCCAAAGAACTATGGAATAAGTACACTGCAATGGAGATCTGTTGAAGCGGCTTCAGGTAATCTCCTCAGCTTATGTTAGTAGTTAGCATCATAATACATACAAGAGCTACTGTACACCTCTCGCCGCAAGGCTGCAGCACAATTTGCGCTTGCCCATTGGGAAAACCGGCAAAACGGAATTTTCTCCGCTAAAAGCTCCCTTACGATATGAGCTCCAAGGTTAGTTCCGGGTGACCAGCAAAAAATTTGTCCGCGCGCTTTCCGCCGAAACCCTAGCAAGCGACCAAGCGCCCCTCCCAGCACCACATCCCCAAACCCGCCACATCCCACTGCGCAGCTTCCCGCTCCTCCAGTTCAAGCTTCCCCCAATCTCCGCCTCGTCCGCAAAGCAGTGCTCGCGCAGCTCAGCATCCGCGCAAAGGTCATTCAACGCCCCCTCCGCTTCCGCAGAACCCTCCCCTTCCGCCACCACGCTCCGCCCAGTAAAAGAGTCCCCGCAAAGCTCTGCCTGCAGCAGAGCGCCGATGTCTTCCGCGCCGAGCGTCTCCGCCCACGCGCAGGCACCAGCTCCGCTCACTGAACTCGGCGAAACCACGGTGGGAAAAGACTGCGCATCTTCCGAGAAGATAAAATCTTCACAGCAAGCGAACTCCCTCGAAGACGAGCAGTCAGTTTCCTCCAGGCCTCCGCCAACCCTACTGACGCGCGGGTGATTGCCTGCAGCGGCGGAGCAGGCGGAGTCGGCGGGGGAGGCTGAAATTGGCGCACAATTGTACACCTCTCCTTCGGCCTCGTTTTCCCCAAGCGCCTCGAGCACCCACCAAGGGAGGCTTGACGAGGGTGAGACGTTATTAGGCGCGCCGCGGCAATCCGCGCTCGTTACGCTGAACGCCTCCGCCTTCCCGCGGACTCTCCGCTCCAGTGGCTCGTCCGAAACCCTCTTCGTTCCGCGGACGTTGGATTGCGTCGATCCTTCACAAGGTTTTTCCGCAAAGCGCTGCGCTTCGGCGGGAATGTCGCTGAACATGTCGGATTCGTCGAAGTTCGAGCCGCTGCCCTCCTGCATTTCCACGCCGGCAGCGCTGCTGGCGCCGCTGTAGTCGCAGTCGAGAGGAAGAGGTTGGCAGCAGTCGGCAGCGCCGGCTCCGAGCAGAACGGACGGACGAGAAAGGTCGAAGGCTTCGGCGGCAGCGGGCGCTGCGACGAAAAGCGACGCATGGCTCGCGATGTGACCGAGCGACGACGTCGCAGACGCGGAGGGGGACGCTGGAAGCGCAACGGGGGTGCGAGAGGAGTAACCAAGGGCTGGCGCCATTTGCCCTAGACGAGCGGAGTCCACAAAGACGTGTCTCGGAACACGCGTCACGGAAATCGCTTGGGCGGCGGTGATGCTGTTATCAGGGGAATATGTCAATCTGCAGGGCTTGCTGAAATGCCCTAAAGGCAGACGGTTGACGAGCGGCGTCGCAGCCTCCATTCTACTTATATGTGGGACCTACGCAATCTAATACTCCCTACTGCGACTAATTGCCTCCACAGTGGTAACTGCTCTAGAGACCACTGGGCAGGATCTTGGAAGCAGTGGTGTGGCAGGAACTTAGACAGGGGTGGCGGTGAGGGCGAGCGATTGGGGGAAACCGAGGGAGGGAGGAGGAATTGCAGCGAAGGTTGCAGGCCAAATGCGTGTGGAATAGGGCTGAGCAGAACGGAAAGAGCAAGTGGGAGTTTGGGGGAATAAATCTCGTGACTGGATGGCAAGCTTCGCGCATCGAATTTGCTGCCAATGGCAGCTTGAAGCAGCTTGGAGAGGATCTTGAACCTGACGAAAAAGCGCAGCGCGAGGCAGAATAGGCGGAGGAGTCTGCCCAGCCGCGCGGAAGCCGGTGTAGTCGGCGGGGAGCGGTAGAAATGGGGTGCGCGGCGCGGAAGCGCGCAGCGCGCATGAAAGGGGGGAGCACGAGCACTCCGCCAGGTTGGGAAGTTGGGCTTGGGGTTGGGTTGGTTGGGTTCTTCGGACTTGAACACGTCTGCGGAAGATCTGGGACAGAGAGGACTTTCGCGGAACACCAGGTCGGCGAAATGCGGAACTTGGCGGAAAACCTGGAAGTTGGCTGGTTGGGAGTTCAACGACCCGAGGCGCGCGAAGCAGGGGGGGTCCACGTCACTACACCTCATATCGGCGCCAAGTCCCGACGATGAGGACCAAACTCCGTTTCTCCAACGCGGAAAGGGGCACACGAGTCACGGGTACAGTGCCAGGATCTCAACCAACGAACTCGGGCAAAACGGTAGGTAATTCATATAGATACTGGAAATTATAGAGGCAACTTGTTTGTCCAAGGTTGTACCGTGCGGAACTCTAGCGAACTCTCACCTAACGCAATTGCAACAAATGCCCCTTTGAAATAAGTTCGGTAATGTTCCTAGAGGGGTAGTTTTAAAATAAAAAAGTACCTGATTCTCCTGCTGCCCATCCCTATTCGTAAAAAACCTTGTACGTAGCGAACAGAACATCTATCAATAACAATTTCCAACTGCTAATTCTCCGTAGGGGGGAAAGCATACGGGGTACTGCATCAAATATGTGTGGATCAGTTTCCGTTCTCCAAGTCACAATTTCCCACAACGGGGGGCGAATGTTGAATAACCCCCAAAACAATATTGTTTTTGCGATCCATCCGTGTTTCCCAAGGTGGACAGACCGCTGCGGATACTGTACAGTTCAAGTTGAGGCCGTGAGGTCTGTTTGTCCCTACCACCGTGAGCCGCGACGCCTTCATTCCCCCCTCCAGACCTGCCCACACTGCCCCATTACAGGTGATTATAGTCCATCCCATGTCAGTTTCCCGCGGGCAAGACGATTTCGCGGTCAGATTCTGCCAACACTTGACAAAAAGCGGCTGCGTGAAAACTCAGGCATCACGTGAATCCAGCTGACGACCAATGGGTTTGACGCTTCCACGTACGACCCCGGATTTCCAGCATGTCAATCATGTCTCGTTCAACAGCCAAGCATCAATCAGCAGAAGCTGAAACAAAATCCAATCAAAACCGACACTACAGCACAGATGCAGTGTCCTTCATATAGGGTACACCACAAAGTGTGGACTAGAGCTGAACTACATGTAGCACTATACAGACTGTCTTGAAAACATATATTCCTATCAATATTTGACGTGGTTACTACAACACATATCAGCAGTTTTGCAGTCAGTACATCACGTTGAACAACGAGCATCAGACGCACGTGACATATTTCGATAATATGCATTGGATTCGTATTCATCATCTTTTTTTTGGAAGTATGGGCTAAGTGGTGCATGGTACGACGTGTGCTGATTGATTAGTTTTGCATTTGTGTTGATTAGTTGATTGCATGTTCCGTGTTCCCTCCACGAAATGTTCCCCAACAGACGTTATTCCCTTACGTCAGCAACTTGTAAACGATAAATTTCAGGGCGCGTTCCTGGCTCGTGTCAAGCTTCGGGCCTTCTCGGGAAGGCCCGAAGCTTAGGGTCAAACTTCCTGTCGAATTTCAGGTCTTCCGGAAACAGGGGCAATTTTTGGCCGGAAGACCCGAAGTTGGTCTCGGATGGCCCAAAGTGGGTCCAACTTCCGGTCATCCGACGGATGGCCGGAAGCTTGACACCAGCCAGGAACGCGCCCTCAGTTGCTGCGCGCCAACCCCGTTCCTCAACCACCAATTTCTGTCTGACTACTTTCTCCGCGTTCTCCGTATCGAAAACATGGTCAGCCGGGTACCGCCGTGTCGAAAACATTGTAAACAGTATTTTCTCGTGTATTCGCCTTCCGCGTTCGTGGTTTGTTCTCATGACCAAAGATGCGTCGCCCTCTGATCCAGCGCGACCCGACGGTCGCACGGCGACGCAGCTGCGACCGGACGGTCGCACGGCGACGCAGCTGCGACCAATGCTCGCCAGCCGGGGTCCGCTGTGCCGCGCCGATGGCTCCGCGAGGTGGTCGCTAGGTGCGTGACTATAACGGGCGAGGTGGTCGCTTGGTGCGTGCGTTTCTATAACAAGCGAGTCTTGCAGCGTCTCAACGCTCGGTTCTGCGAACGGGCGAAGAGTTTCCGAGCTGCGGTATACGGACGCTGCCCGTGTCTGCCCAAAAATCTCGTTCCATAGTGGCGGGTACTTGTAACGGGGGAACGGGGGAGCTGTTCTTCGATTGGCTATTCATGAATTGGATTAATCTTCCCTGCACCAGAGTCAGTCGGATCGCCCTTATACTTCCTCTGATCCCCCGCCCTTAAACTCCCTTCCCCGCTAACCCCCTTCAAACCCGAGACTTGATCAGGCTACATGTGCGTGGTGGCGGGGGTGAATGGGCTTCGGGGAATGGGCGCGGGACAGTGTGATCTCCCCATGCATTTCTTCCCCTCATCCCCCCCTTACCCCCCTGCCGCCCCTAACCTTCCTTCCCCTTAACCCCCGATAAACCTTAAACCCCTTGCAGGGGACACCTGTGTGGTGGCAGGGGTGTATGGGCCGCGGGGGATGGGCGCAGCGGGAGGGGGGCTGGCGGGGGGAGGGGCGGGGGCGGCGCAGGGGGGAAAGGAGGATCCGCTTAGAGCCTCCCTGCAGGTCATATGGGCGCCTAGGAATGGCATCGCAGGTGCGTGTGACAATAGTGGTGGTGTGTGACTGTAATGGGGGGGATCGATGATGGGCAGTGGGCAGGGGGGGAAGGAGGACCCGCTTAGAGCCTCTCTGCAGGTCATATGGGCGCCCAGGAATGGCATCGCAGGTGCGTGTGACTGTGATGGGCGGGATCGATAGCAGGGCAGGGGGGCAGGGGGGCAGTGGGGCAGGGGGGCAGGGGGGCAGCGGGGCAGGGGGGCAGCGGGGCAGGGGGGCAGCGGGGCAGGGGGGCAGCGGGGCAGGGGGGCAGCGGGGCAGGGGGGCAGCGGGGCAGGGGGGCAGCGGGGCAGGGGGGCAGCGGGGCAGGGGGGCAGCGGGGCAGGGGGGGAAGGAGGACCTACTCAGAGCGCCCACCGCTGCTCCCTGCACGTCATATGGGCGCCCAGGAATGGCATTGCAGGTGCGTGTGACTGTAACGAGCAGTGAGTTCGTTAGTGGAACGCTGGTGCTGTTCCTGCAGCAGCAGCAGCATATGCGGGGCAGGGGGTAAGGAGGACCAACTTAGAGCCTCCCTGCAGGTCATATGGGCGCCAACGAATGGAATTGCAGGCGTATGTGACTGTAATGGTGGTGATGTGACTGTTGTGGTGGCCAGGAGCACTGATGCATGACCAAGCCTGCACCAGAGACCAGTCACCCACAACCCGTCACACCGCGCACACCCCATTACTTCTTCCCCATTCCCCTTCTCCATACCACCCACCAGGCCCACAGGAGCGGAGAGCGGAACAGCGAGCGGTGGTGGGTGGTGCGGTGCGGTGTGGTGCGGCAGATGATGGACGCCACGATCCATACCCATCAAATCTATACCCCCTGTCCTGGTGCTCCTCATGACCTGACCACTCAAATCCCCGTCCTCCTTACCAGTCTCCTCTCCCCCCGCTCAACCAGGCCCACAAGAGAAGCAGACCAGTGCTACAGTGAAGCGGTGGTGCGGCAGACTGTGGATGCAGTGCTGCTGTCGTCGCTGCTGCCGGTTGAGTTTTGAGTCGACTCAAAATTCGGCTGCTGTCATCTCTCCTACCCTCTCTGCGCGCCATTCTGGGGTTTGCCTTAGAGAATTCGCAAGGTTCTCCCCTCTCCTTCCCCCCCCCGCCCCGGCCCACCAGGCGCACAGGAGAAGTACAGTGAAGCGGTGGTGCGACAGACAATAGATGCCGTGTTGCTGTCGTCGCTGCTGCCGCGCACGAGAATACAGCTGCAGCTGCAGGTGGGTTGAGAGGGGTGCAGTGCGGTGATGCACGGTCCCCGCAGTGGAGAATATGGGTGCTGCAGCTGCAGGGAGGGGTGCGGTGCGGTGATGAAGGCTGCGACGCTGCGCAACCGGCACACAAGACATGCCACTTGAGTCATTTTGCATGCACTTTCCTTTTGAGGTGACTTTGAGTCGACTGAAAAGTCACCTCGTTACAATGACACAAGGCATGCCACTCGACTCATTCTGCAACCACTTGCCCTTCCAACTTCCCTTCGCTTGTAACCTTGTTTGTTCGAGCTCTGCTTTGGGCAGGCCTTTCCCTTGTTCTTTTTGAGACACCATTTGAAAATCCTGTTAGTCTCCTCAAGAAGGGACTATTTCATTTTCCAGCTTCTCACAGGCCCTTCTCTTGTCAGACTCCTTATCCTGATACAGCGTTCGCTTCCTTTGCTCCCCATTTCCTATGTGCCCCTGTCCCTCTTCCTCCTCTCGTTCATTCTCGCATCATCGCATCGCATCACATCTCATTGCTTCGCATCACACCGCATTGCACTGCCCTTGCTCTCCTTTGCAGGTGGTGCATGACGACGGCTCGGTGAGTCTTTGGTGCCGCTGCATTCTAACGCAAAATGGCGTGTTTTTCTGCTACAGATACACGCTATATAATGGCTGCGACAAACGCTCTTGGAAGAAGATGCGTGTCTGGGCAGGCAAAACATTCTCCTGGGCAGCGAATTTTAGACAGGCGGAATGTTCGTTCATAGTGCAGGCGGTCTATGGGATCAATCAGTCAATGTGATCAATCAACCCCACAGTTCTTCCACTGAAGACTGGCAAGATTGCTACTGAGTCAGCTTTCTGTTTACGGCACTTCCCTTTTCTCCTGCTCCTCTTTTTTCTCCATCCTTCCCACCCCACAATTCCCTCACCTCCTCCTGCCTCCCTCTCCTCCCCCACCCCCTTCACATCCCTCCGCACCACCGCACCGCACACCACTCCACACCCCGCCCCTCAGCTGCTGGCGTGTGCTCTAAACGCTGCCTTTGCTGCTCTCCTTGATGCTGGCTTGCCTCTCGCCTGCCTTCCAGGTACCCCTCTCTCCCCTCTCCCTCCCCTCTTCCCTCACCCCTCACCCCTCACCCCTCACCCCTCACCCCTCACCCCTCACCCCTCACCCCTCACCCCTCACCCCTCTCCCCTCTTCCCTCCTACCCCTCTCTCCTTGCTCCCCTCTCCCCGACTCCACTCACCTTTCTCCTCTCTCCATTCTCCTTTCCGCTCTTTCCTCTCTCCCCTCTCTTCGCTCCTCTCCTCGTACCATGCTCACCTTCACTCTGTGTGCACATCACAGCAGCACCGGAATCGCACCCTTAACTGCTCATTCACACACGCCCACTCTTTCCTCCCTGCCTCCCATTTCCCTATACACACAGCGGCAGTGCAATTGGCACTGGACTCGCAAGGTCAATTGCTGCTGGACCCAACCAAGCAGGAGCAGCAGGTGAGAGGGCCTCCCTTTCACCTGACTGCAGCTGCATGTGACTCGCAAGGTCGTACCTGTCCTTGATTTTTCTGGTCTCTCCTCATTTTCCTTGTCTTTCCTTGATATACCGTGACTTTCCTTGATTTGTCTTGACTTACTTCACTTCCCCTTGACTCTACTTGACCCCCTCTCGTCTCCCCATCACTACAGACAGCGTCTGCCACCGTCTGCACAGTGTTTGCCAACCGCCCACTAGCACCGGACGGCACAGTTCTCGCTACAGTACCCACTGGGCCGGCTGGGGTGGCAGCAGCAGCAGCAGCAGGAGCAACAGCAGCAGCGGGCAAGAGGCGGTTGATGGGATGATAACATGTGAAGCCACAGGGCGGATGAGAGGTAGGAGCAGTGTGTGGGCATGGGGTATGGGTATGCGTAGCTGGGGCAGCAGCAGCAGCAGCAGCAGCAGCAGCAGCAGCAGGAGGAGGGAGCAGCAGCAGCGGGCAAGAGGCAGTGGATGGGATGATTACGTAGGACGGATCAAAGGTGAGGGAGGGGCACGGCCATGGGTGTGGGTGTGGGTGTGGGTGTGGGTGTGGGCATGGACATGGGTATTGAAACGCCTCATAACCAGGTGGTGATGCTGTGTGTGTATGGGCGTGGGGTGAAGTGAGTAGGTGGTTGTTGCGGAGAGGCAGTGGATGGGATGATTACATGTGAAGCCACAGGGCGAATCAGAGGTGAGGGAGGGGTAATGGGATGGTTCAGAACCAGGTAGAGGCAGCGGATGGGATGGGATGAGATGATTAAATGTGAAGCCACAGGGCGGGTCAGAGGTGAGAGAGACTTGTGTCCATGGGCATGGATGGGTATGGGCATTTGTGTGGGTATGGGTATGGACATGGCATGGGCATGTGTGTGGGTATGGGTATGGATATGGCATGGGCATGTGTGTGGTTATGGGTATGAGCATGGGGCATGGGCATAGCATGGGCAAATGGGAGGCATATGGCATGGCATCCCACATGGTACCACCGCCCAACAACACTACCACCTCATCACCGCATACCACCGCACAGCACCTTAGTCACATGACTGGACACACCACTGCAAAAAACCCACACCTCTTCACATCTCGGCACACCATCACCGTGTCGTGCATTTGTAAGGCATTGATTGAGTAGATGGAATTAGAAGGGTGATTTTCTCATCTTTCTCGCCAACAACACCATGAGTGAATGCCATTCTTCCAGTCACCCCACTACACCCGATGCCACCGCACATCACTGCACGTCACTCCACATCACCTGCCGTTATTGCATTCAGTCCACAGCATTGCTCTTCACCGCCCACCATTCATCTCCACCGCACATCACCGCTCCCAACCAGCCCTGAAGTATGTGGAGGCGTTGGAGAGAGCAGAGCTGGCATGCCGGGTCATCGATGCCTTCTCCCGCACGGGCCTTGAGCAATATCAGGTGCGCAGTGCGGTGCAGTGCGGTAAAATGCAGTACATTGTGATGTTACGTGGTAGCATGTAGGAAGAGCAGAGCTGGCATGCCGCGTCATCGATGCCTTCTCCCGCACAGTCCTTGAGCAGTATCAGGTGCGTCACTGGTACAATGTGGTACAGTGCGGTACCTTGTTGTAGCATGTGGTGCCAGGTGCGTTGCAGCAGTATCAGGAGCTTCACTGGCACAGTGCAGTACCATGCAGTACCATGCAGTACCATGCAGTACCATGCAGTACCATGGAGTACCATGCAGTACCATGCAGTACCATGCAGTACCATGCGGTACCATGCGGTACCATGCGGTACCTTGCGGTACCACGTGGTACCAGTTCTGCCATGCACTGTCATGGTCCAAATATTCAAATGTTTTGTTACATTGATGCTTTCCCATGCAAATTTTGGGAAGCAATGTCAGAGCCCTACACATGCACAGTACAGCCCGCTAGGCAACCCATTGTTCTTCCACAGGTGCTCATTCCTGCGATCATGTGTGGTCTTGTGTGATGCAGAAGAGAAGAGAGGTGGTGACAGGGTGAGCTGAGCTTCCTAATATTCCTACAGCATAAAGGGTGAGCTGAGCTGTTAGCTTTTGAGAATTCTATGAAGGTTGATCTGTGAGCTTTTTGTATGAAACTCTCTGCATTGTGACGCATGTAGTGTAACTAGGACGCCGCACCGGCCGCAAACACATCAGACCAGAAGACCCAACCCAACGTACGGCATGCTTGTTGCTTCACAATGTGTGTCCTGAGTTTCGTTTCATCTGTGCTCAGATCTGACTAGGACACCATTATCTCACTTCAGTATTTCAACTGCCCCATTGGCTTCACTGTACTAGTGTTCGTTAATAAGCATGTTAGTGGGAATCTCTTTGTTATGGAGCATATGAGTGCTACTGTATCCACATGTACTTTAGCCTTGCCATAGATCCATAAAAAAGGCTTCCTACTATATACAAAATCCTGTGAAAGATTTCGACATGTCATGATGACTGCTGATGGCATGGTGTCACAATGGTATGCTGGCTTGGATGTCAAGGTATCATGATGTCATGATGACTGCCGGCTTGCCATGGTCTCATGGAGAATGTCAGGGCGGTCAGAGAAGAGCATGTCGCACCCCATGGCTATGCAGTCCTCCTGCAAGATCATGTCACATGGGTTTGGAGAGCAGTGTGTGTTCTCAAGAGCTCAAACAAACCAACTGGGAATGTCAGGGCGGTCACAGAAGAGCATGTCACACCCTATGGCCACGCAGTCCTCCTGCAAGGGCATGGGAACGGTATGGTATGGTACGGCATAAATATTGATTGCTGGTTGTTGAGAGTGGTAAGAAACCAATTGGGGATGTCAGGGTCAGGAGGAAAGAGCATGTCACACCCCATGGCCATGCAGTCCTCCTGAAAGGACATGTCACATGGGCACGGTCCAGAGGTATGGAGAGCGGTGGTGGATCATGAGAGTTCAAACAAACCAACTGCGAATGCCAGGCTGTCAGAGAGGAGAGCATGTCGCATCCCATGCCCATACAGTCCTCCTGCAAGAGTACGGGCATGGTACACTTGCATTCCCTTGCGGTAAGGGCATGGTACTCCTGCATACCCTTGCGGTAAGGGCATGGTACTCTTGCATACCCTTGCAGTACGGGCATGGTACGGGGTGCTAGTACTTGCCCAACCAGCTGAAAAAGTGACGGCCGCCACAAAAGAGCATGTCACGTGTGTGCGCACATACAGATATGCAGCCCAGGTGTGAGGGTGACTGCTCTTCGGACATTTTCCAGTGAGCAGTGGCGCTTAGGTTCAGGCTAATTTTTGAGTCGACTCAAAAAACATGTGCACATACAGATATGCAGCCCAGGTGTGAGGGCGACTGTTGAGAATTTCTCAGAAGTGACTGGAAATAAAAGCATGTCACGTGCATGTGCATGTACAGACAGATATGCAGCCCAGGTGTGAGGGTGGTGTGGGTGGGAGGGATGGAAGGTGTAAGCTTAGATCTACCTGTCATGCATGGCTCCATAGTGCAAGCATGGTGTCCTTCAAAACACCTCCCCTGGGTATCACCTCCCCCGAGGGTATCACCTCCCCCAGGGGTATCACCTCCCCCGGGGGTATCACCTCCCCGGGGGTATCACCTCCCCCGGGGGTATCACCTCCCCCGGGGGTATCACCTCCCCGGGGGTATCACCTCCCCCGGGGGTATTCCCCCCCCCACCCCCCCCGGTATCACCTCCCCCCAGGTATCACCTCCCCCCAGGTATCACCTCCCCCCAGGTATCACCTCCCCCAGGGGTATCACCACCCTCGCCACCCTCCCTCCTGCATAGGTGAACGCGTGCCTACCCTCCTCACCACCCCCACCCCTCGCTTCCTCTCCGCACCTCCCCCATGCCCCACCGGCCCCCTCCCATGCCTCACCTGTCCCTCCCTGTTGTCTAGGTAATCCCCAAACACTGATACCCATCGCTGCATTGGTTGATGGGTTAGAAAGGGGGAGAGAGGGAGAGAGGGAGATTGAAGGAGAGGGAGAGTGAAGGATACGGGGACAATGAGGGGGAAGGGGGAGAGTGAGGGAGAGAGAGAGAGAGAGGTGTTGTCCGGCAGAGAAGGAAGACAAATGAGGGAGTGGGAAGGAGGAGAGCTAGTTGTTCTCAAAAGTCACAAAGGTGGAGAAACATAAGAAAGTGTATGTTGAATCAAGCGGAAAAAAAAGGGGCTGACATATGTCTCCCTCTTGAACGAATTCTCAACTCAAGTAACTTGCTAAACAGACTTGCAAGAGTTTCACATACCCCTCGTCGCTGGAAGGCTGCAACGAAGTCGCGGTTGAGAACCTGAGACAGGGAGAGCGGAGAGGAAGTAGGGGAAGGAGCAGAGCACGTGAGGCTGTGAGTTTTTCGCGACATCTCAAATGTCGTCGCTGGAAGGCTGCAACGAAGTCGCGGTTGAGAACCTGACACAGGGAACGGCGAGAGGAAAGGGGAGGAGCATGAGCCGTGGTTGAGTACCGGACAGAGTGAGGGTCGAGAGGAAGGAGCAGATCACATGAGCCTTTTAGGGGCTGTAAGCCAGAGCATGTCAACTAATGAGGCGCCTCATAAATAACCCAGAGCATGTCAACGGTTGACAGTCAGGTGCTAAGGCTGCTTGAGGATCACCACAAGAGGGGCAGCAGATGGATAATGAGGAGCAGCTGTCGTTGCGAAACTGACATGCAAGGGAGAGGATGATCGAGTGAGTGAAGAAGCAACATTGCTGATAAGACCTTGCTTCGCCTTAGTGCTTTGTTGGTCTCTGGTTAGAAATAGGACATAGGACGTCAGAAAAGGGGGTTAAACACACTCTCTATCACCAGTTTCATTACCTTGTAACCCCATCTGTATGCTGACGTTCCCACGATCTCATGACGCATGGGAATGAGCCAAAGAATGCCGACCACGTAGCAGATGTACCTGGGAAAGGCACAGGGATGCGAGGAAGAGGAGGAAAGCTTGTGATGAAGAGAAATGCTATAGAGCGCCACAGTAGGAGTACAAACAGGGTACTTGTGATGAAATGATTTTTGAGTCGACTCAAGCATCGCCTCAGTAGGAGTACAGGGTGCTTGTGATGAAATGGGGCCCATTTCACAAGGTATGAGTTAGACGACTTCCGTGTCAACTCAGAAACGGGCTTGGAGTGGACTGGTCACCAGCCTTGCGCGTGCTCACATAGGTGACTTTTGAGTCGACTCAAAAGTCGGCTCGGAGTGGACTGGACTCCAGCCTTGCACGTGATCACATTTATGAGTCGACTCAAAAAGTGCTTGAGAAGAACTAGAAGGTGTATGTAGCAGAAGCATGCCAACGAGTGGGATTCAAGGACGGGCGAAGTCGCAGAAGTAGAGGTATGGTCAACATGACAAGGCATACATGGCAAGGCATACATGGCATGGCATACATGGCATGGCATACATGGCATGGCATACATGGCATGGCATACATGGCATGGCATACATGGCATGGCATACATGGCATGGCATACATGGCATGGCATACATGGCATGGCATACATGGCATGATGAAGTGGCTGGCAGGGGCCAGCTGAAAGGCATGAGCGACCGCTAGAGAGAACTACCAGCACATATACAGATGTTATTTGGGTTTGAGAGAAACACTTACATAAGTATCATGGAGTTAAGGTCAGGTGTGGCTGGAACACACTTGGGCTTCAGTCTGAGCACCTGTGCAGGAAGAGTATGATGCGACATGATTACATGATATCACGATTCACACTTAGGGGGTGAAGATGGCACAGGGATGAATGGCATGATACGAAGCAAGGGCGCGGCGCACACATGCAGGCAAGGGCGCACACATGCAGGCAAGGGCGCACACATGCAGGCAAGGGCGCACACATGCAGGCAAGGGCGCACACATGCAGGCAAGGGCGTACACATGCAGGCAAGGGCGCACACATGCAGGCAAGGGCGCACACATGCAGGCAAGGGCGCACACATGCAGGCAAGGGCGCACACATGCAGGCAAGGGCGCACACATGCAGGCACGGGCGCACACATGCAGGCAAGGGCGCACACATGCAGGCAAGGGCGCACACATGCAGGCAAGGGCGCACATATGCAGGCAAGGGCGCACACATGCAGGCAAGGGCGCACACATACGATCGATCGCATCTCTCTGATTGCTTCAGGAGGCAGTGCTCCCATGATGATGCACACGCAAATGCATACCTCATAAGAGCACATGCAGCACATGCACATGCACATGCATGAGAAGCACAGCACATATCTACATGCATACCTGATAGGAGCACATGTGTGAACGAACCTCTCTGTTAGCTTCTGGAGGAACTGCTCCCATGATGATGCGCTGCTCTAGCCCATACTCTTGAACCATCTGAACCACATGCCAGCACATGCACACGTGTCACCATGCACACGTGTCACCATGCACGCTTGGCTAATTAAGTTCAGCAAGGAAAGCAAGAAAAATAAAAATAAAAATAAAGCAGATAGATTTCAAGAATGTACAGAACACAGAATTTGGGATGAGAAGGAAGACAAAGGGAATTGTTGACACAAGAAAGCATGTGGGGAGGGGAGTTTACACAGAAATGATTATAAGTGCTCCCACGTAATGAAAACTTCAGTTGGTAGGATTGACAGAAAGTCTCAGAATACTCCCCAGAGGACAAGTTCAGTGGGCATCACCTGTAGCGTGGGAGCGACAGCTGCGGGTGACTTGAAGTCGAGGTAAATGACGAGATCCTTGTAGCGTGTGAACTCGTCAAACAGCTGGGCGGGGGGGTGTGGTTGAGGGGATGGCAGTGGGCAGGTAGGAGACAGACAGCTGAAGCGTGGGAGCGACAGCTGCGGGCGACTTGAAGTCGAGGTAGATGACTAGATCCTTGTAACGTGTGAACTCGTCAAACAGCTGGGGGGGGGAGGGGGGGGGGATGGGGTGTGAGAGAGAAAGAAAGTGTTGAGTCAACTCAGAGGGTGACTTGAAGTCGAGGTAAAAGACTAGATCCTTGTAGCGCGCGAACTCGTCAAACAGCTGTTAGGGGAGAGCGAGGGGGGTTGGGAGTGGAGAACGGGGAAAGGAAGACTTTAGAGTGGCCTCGAAAGGAGGGAGTAGGTCACATGGTTTTTTTACCGTGCAAACTCGTCAAAAAGCCGGCAGGGGAGTGTGGATGTGTGGCTAGGGGGGCGGCAGTGGGCAGGCAGCGGGTGGATTCATTTCGCCAAATGCGTCTCCTCAAGTGTCAGCGCATGGAAGTGTGAGATTGCATTTGGAAACTCGCTTACCTAAAATCCATCTGTAAGTGTCAGGAATTTGTAACGATAGGTCCAGAACTGTTGGCATTTCAAACCTTACCTCCCTAAGTGTCGGTATTTGCAGTCCCTTTCCTCTGTAGGGAAACGTTTTGCCACCATCTCGGGTGAAATGATACCCAGCATCCAACGACCTGCAGCCACGTGGCACAGAGGGCAAACCAAAATGAACATAAAGTGGCATTATGATGAAAATGGCGTCACCCTGCTCTGAAGCACACTAAACGCCTGCTCACCATTGCACAGCTCCATCTCACCTGAGGTCTTTTCACCTAGTTGCGGAAACATCGCCTGATCTTTCAACCAATCTCTCACCTAATCTCCCGCCTGACCACACCTGAGTTCTCACCTGACCTCTCAACTGGCCTGACCACCTGATCTCGCACCTGACCTCTCACCTGAACTCTCACCTGACCTCCCACCTGACCTCTCACCTGAACTCTCACCTGACCTCCCACCTGACCTCTCACCTGACCTCCCACCTGATCCCTCACCTGACCTCTCACCTGACCTCTCACCTGAGCTCCTCCAGGGTGTAGCTATCCACAAGCCCTCTGCCATCCGTTGTCTCGTCCACTGTCACGTTGTGAATCAAAACCTGCCAGCCACACGCCCCAGTCAACATAAGTCAACAGAGTCAAGAGACAATGCTCAACAGCTTTTCCATTCCTGAGGGACCAGCAGGCTCACCAGCACGCCCAGTTTTTGTACAAACATTCCCAGCCCAAGCCCCAGTAGCACCAGCCACAGCGGCGGCAGCAGCAGCAGCAGCAGCAGCAGCAGCAGCAGCAGCAGCAGCACCCCAGACGCAGCAGCAGCACCTCAGGAAGCAGCACAACGGTACACCAGAGGCCCACCAGTTGCATTTGAGGCGCCAAAGAAGCAGCGTCTCGCCAATTGTTGGTCCCTGTACTGTTGCACGCCCGCCCACGCTCAATAGCTGCATGCGCGCAGCGCGCAGAAGCAGAGAAACAATCCCAGCAGTAGGCACAGAGCTGCAGCAGCAACGGAAGACCAAGCACAAGCACAAACTCAAGAGAACGCGTCTCACCAGGTGTTGGTTCTTGGTCAGTTGCACGTCCACTTCCAGTAACTGCGTGCGCAGCAGTGGCGGGCAGCAACCCCAGCAGTGGCCACCGAAGCTGCAGCAGCATCGGCAGATCAAGCACAAGCACAAGCACAAGCACAAGCACAAGCACAAGCACAAGCGCAATCACAAGCAAAAGCGTCTCACCAGGTGTTGGTCTTTGGTCAGTTGCACGTCCACTTCCAGTAGCTGCGTGCGCAGCAGTGGCACAGCAGGGGCAGCCGCACCCCCAGCACTAGCAGCACGGGGATAGCAACAGAGTCTCACCAGCTGTTGATCTTTGGTCAGTTGCACGTCCACTTCCAGTAGCTGCGTGCGCAGCAGTGGCACAGCAGGGGCAGCCGCACCCCCAGCACTAGCAGCACGGGGATAGCAACAGAGTCTCACCAGCTGTTGATCTTTGGTCAGTTGCACGTCCAATTCCAGTAGCTGCGTGCGCAGCAGTGGCTCACTAGGGGCAGCACCCCCAGGAGGAGCATCAGGAGTATGAAGAGCGGCAGCAGCATCGGCAGCAGCAGCATCGGCAGCAGCAGCATCCGCAGCAGCAGCATCAGGAGGAGCATGGAGAGAATGAGGAGCGTGGGGAGAATCAGAAGCGCCAGGAGCAGCAGTGACTGTAGAATTGGCATCGGTATCACGACCTGCAGCGTCAATGCCAGCAGCGCTGCGGTATGCGAGCATGGTGTTCTCTGGCCATGCCCGTGCGCCACCCCTGGGAGGGGAAAGGAGACGGCAAGGGAGAGAGTGCAAGGAGCATAAGTAAGTGTGACGGTTGGTGCACTGCCTGCAGCATCAACGTCAAATGTACTGCGGTAAGAAAGCATGGTGTTCTCAGGCCATGCCCGTGCACCACCCCTGGGAGGGGAGAGATGACGGCACGGGAGAGAGAGATGGAAAACGTAAGAAGGTGGGAGGGTTGGTGCGCACTGCCAGCAGCATTAACGCCAATAGCGCTGCGATGATAAGCAAGCATGGTGTTCTCGGGCCATGCCCGTGCACCACCCGTGGGAGGGGAAAGGTGAACGAAAGGGAGAGGGAGAGAGATGGAAAACATAAGTAAGTGTGATGGTTGGTGCACTGCCTAGACTATTTTCCACATCCACACCGATGCCAACAGCGCTGCGACAAGCAAGGATGGTGCTCTCAGGCCATGCCCGTGCACCACCCCTGGGAGGGAAGCGATGAAGGCACGGAGAGGGAGACGGTAAGATGCACACAGAGGGAATGGGTGGTGCGATGGGAGAGCATAAAGAAGTGTGATGTTTGTTGGTGCACTGCCAGCAGCATCAACGCCAGCCACGCTGCGATACGCGAGTATGGTGCTTCCTGGCAATGCCCGTACACCAGCTGAAGGGAGGGGAGAGATGACGACAGGGAGAGAGGTGGAAAGGGAAAGACCATTATGGTACCCTCCCTTGGAGGTTTTCTACAACTCGCGCCAATAGGCATACCTATGGCTGGCGTGGACTGGGCGGCGTTTAAGCAACAGCGCGACGACGGGATGCGTATCAGGTCCGAACGGCATATCGCGTGTCAGGAACCTCTCGTAAAGATGCTTCAACGCAAGAAGGTGCTGAAGAGATCAGTTAACGCACCTATGGCTGGCGTGGACTGGACGGCGTTTAAGCAGCAGCGCGACGACGGGATGCGTATCGGGTCCGAACGGCACGTCGCGTCTCAAGAACCTCTCGTATAACGGCTTCAATACAAGATACAACGCGGCTGCTGCTGCTGCGGTTCCGCCGGCCACGAGGACAGCCGTCGACGGCCCGGTGGCGGCGCCGCCGCTGGCGGAGGCACCGGAAAATGCCATTGATCTTTTTGCGCGGGTGCTCGTCAGGCAAAAAACGACGCCTCGAAGCGCCAGGACTCCTGCGAATTCGCAGTTAACTGTTTAGACAGATCAGCCGTTTTGCGCTAGTCGTTCCCAAGCGGACCCACACTTTCAGCGGAGTCGATTTCCGAAAAGCGCGGAAAATCACGCCCCAGTCAGAGACGGAAGTGGAAGGTCCAGAAACGCCTCGTGGCCTGATGATCTCACTAGCTACTATCCGTTCAAGCTCACCGCCTAGCTTTACCCCAGCAACCCCTTTGACAGCTCTTGGGAATATTCGAGTTGGCCTCTGGGATTCCCCTCGCATTGTTGTTGATGGCCCCGAAAGCCGCATCGCTTCTGGCCGAACGGGGTTCTCTACGTTTCCTTACGTTCTATAATGAAGTAGTTTTCCAGGGAAATATACAGTAACTCTTATAAGAACAGAAGAAGCGTTGGTAATGCATGATAATTCTTAAACTTCTTCCACATCCCATGTCGTGCATTTGTTGCGCAACAAGCCATCCCCTTCACTACCTGCATCAATATCCTCCAATTCTCTGCTCGCGCATATCTCTTCTGTGAAGCTTGATCCATGTGGGTCATGAGCACCCGTGCAAGCCATTGGAGCATGAAAGAACACTGTAGCCTTAATGCATACTAGCTTATCGAGGATGGCCTGCAACGGGCCAGAACACAGCAAAAAAGCAAGAACAAACAGGATGTGATACACATGAGGCGAGCACAGCACAACCTGTAGGAATAATGGAAAACAAAAAACACGAGCAGTTCTACGAGAAAAAAATCATGAAGCTATGTGGTAACATGTATGATGGTTAATCCATCGCTCCAACTGTGCAGACCATGTCAAGGCACTGCAAAGGGGCACGCAAAGACTCACCTGGACGCCTGTGTCCAGCTGAGGGACAGAGGGGGCGGCAGCAGCCCACGTGATTGGTCGAAGCTCCTCATGCAGCAACTGAACAAGAGTGGGTTCGGGGAGGGGGAAGAGAGGAAGGGTGTATGAAGGATGAGAAGGCGGAAGGGGGGGGAGGAGGGGGTGAGGCACCTGTAGGGAAGGCCAGCAGCAGCCAAAGCGATTGGACAAAGCTCCTCATGCAGCAGCTGAAAGACAGTGGGGTTGGGGAGACGAAAAAAGGAGAGCGTGAGGGGGGAACACGAGTGGAAAGGGAGGAGTGGAGGGGGACACAATATTAGGGCGTTTCAACGCAATGTAAACAGACTCACACAGCAGCCTACATGAGCCGATGAAGCTCCCGAGAAAGCAGTTGTAGTAGTAGTAGTTGTGGGTTTTTGAGTTAACTAACAAGCGACACAGCAGTGATCTTTGAGTCGGCTAAGAAAAGCAGTTACAGCAGCAGGTTTGAGCCGACTAGAAAAAGCAGCTACAGTGGTGGGTTTGTGGAGGAGGGGGGTGGGTTCTGGGTTAGTGAGAGCTGAAACAGAGGGGGCTGCAACACTGGGGGCTGCAGCAGCAGCCAAGGTGCAACACAGGGTGGGGGTGTTTCTGTTTCTCTGCCAAGGCGTGGTGATACAGAAACAGGTTTGGGTACTCGAGAGCAGGAGAAGGAGATGTTGCGAGAGGAGCGACAGTATGAGGTGCGATGCGAATCACAACAAGTGATAAGTAAGTTGGTGTAACGAGGTGCATTATTGAGCTCACCTGCACTGTTCTTAAAGCCACATCCCGGTGCTCCTTGCTGAGCACAGTGAACGAGTTTGACATCCACCTGATGGCATGGGATGGGACAGAGAGCATAGTAGCGGTGAGACAGGGTGCACAGATGCTACTCAAGCAGCTTGCAAGCATTTGAAACAATGCGATGGGTGCCTGTGGTCTGTGCTGAGCATGGGAAGGAGTTGGGCATCCATTTGACAGCATGGGATGGAGGGGATGGGGGGATGGGGCCAGAAGCAGAGGGAACAGGGCCCCTTAGTTTCCCTGTGCTCCATGCTGAGTAATTGGACACCTGTAGATTGTTTTTGAGAATTTTTGAAAACAACCTACAGGAGTTGGACATCTGACAGCATGGGTAAAGAAGCAGCCACGCGCCTGCTGTCAGGAGCCAGCACTGTGGCCAGAAACACCGCCAGTTGCTTCTCAAGCTGTCTTTCGAGTCAACTCAGAAGGCATGTGACAGTACGGGGCAAAGACACACCCACGCACCTGTTGTCAGGAGTCAGGTCCGTGGCCAGAAACACCGCCACCTGCTGGTCGTCGCGCTCCTTTCCCACGCGCGTGGCCCACCCCCTGACAGTGTCCACAAGCCCTCGAGCGCACGCTGCCACCTGCTGCAGCCGCACTCCCGCCCGAAAAGCCTTCTCCAGCCGCCAATGCGCCGCCACCACCACCAAACCCTCCTCTCGGCCTCTGCTACTTGCCCCACCTGCTTGTAGTTGGAAATGATTCGTTATAAGGTGATCCGCTGCAACGTGCAGGTGAGGCGGGTACACTAGGGACTGCCGGGCCTCTGACGCCACCCGGCCTATCCGGGAAAGACACATCAGCGGCGACGACTTGAACACCACTGCCACGTCAGCGTTCCGATCAGGTTCTACTTTCCCTTCCTCCCCGCCTTCTCTCCCTCCTCCTCCCTTCCGTCTCCCCCTCTCCTTCCCACCTTCCCCTTCCTTCTCTCTTTTCTCTTCCTCCTCCTCCTCCATCTCCCCCTCTCCGCCGCCCGTTCTTCCCAGCGCCACCATCGGCTCCTCCCCAGGCAGCACTGTAGCACCTCTGTCTCTTCCCAGCAGGTCCTCGGCGCCGGGCGGCTTGGCGCGGCGTTTAGTGGTGCAGGTGCGGGTGCAGAGCGCGGGGGCAAGGAGAGCGCGGTTGAGGAGAAGAGAGGGATCGGAACGGAGGGAGGTGTTGGGCTGGAGACCTGCAGTGTTGGTGTTGCGACCGATCTTGGCATAAGACGCTCTCTACTGGAATGGAAGAAAGGGGAGGGGTGTTGAGGGGGGGGAAAGGGGGGTAAGGGAAGCATCGGGCATGGAGAGAGGCGTTGGGATGGAAATCAGGGGTGTTGGTGTTGCGTCCGATCTTGGCATAAGATGCTCTCTACTGGAATAGAAAGCAAGGGAGAGATGGTTGTTTGGGAGGGGAAAGCGGGAAAAGGAAGGAAGGCGTTGGCTTGCAGAGAGAGGCAGGCAGTTGTCAGTCCAGTATTCTCACCCAAATAACATTCATAGCCCCCATCCCATAGCACCCCTCAGAACCCCTTTCCACCCACCACGTCACATGCCTTCATCTTGCCATCCCCTAGAACCAGCGCCACCACACTCCCTCCCTTTCTTCCAGCTGCCCGCCACGCCGGCACCACCTGCCCGTAAAAAAACTCCTCCGAGACCCACGGCACAAACTGCTTGAGCCTGCCCGGGTCGAAATAAGTGCAGAAGGGGAAGGCGTAATCCGCTACAGTGCCGATCCTGCTGTTCCCCACGGACGGCAGGATGAGGGTGCGACCTGTGTGGCGTGCCACAGATAACACCTCCCCCAGATGCAGCCGAGCCTTGCTGAGCTGCTCATAAAGGCGACCCACTGATATGAACTTGGCAGATAGCAAGGCGGCTGCTCATAAGGGGAGTGGGAAGGGGGAAGGGGGAAGGGGGAAGGGGGAAGGGGGAAAAGGGAAGGCGGAGGGGTGAGGGGGAATGTGGGGAAGCTGCTGCTCGTACAGGCGACCCACTGATATGAACTTGGCGGAGAGTAAGGCGGCTGTAGGGGGAGGGGGAAAGGGGGACGTGGGGGAGGGGGAAAGTGGGGGAATGGATAGGGATCAATATGCAGCTGCTCATACAGGCGACGCACTGATATGAACTTGGCGGAGAGTTAGGCGGCTGCGGCGGAAGGGGAAGGGGAAGGGCAAGGAGGAAGTGGGAAGGTGGAAGGGGAAAAGGGGGAAAAGGGGGAAAAGGGGGAAAAGGTGGAAAAGGGGAAAAAGGGGAAACCTGGACTCACAGAAACACGCAAACTCAAAAAAGATATCCGAACTGGCCGGCAGGAGAGTTGAAATTCTCCGCTTCGCAAACTAAATGGAAGATCTGAAGATTCGAAAAATCGAAGACTGGAATAGTCAAGATTTAGCTCACAGGGATCGAAGCTATCAGAATATGGACGCGACGCCACCTCCTGGGGACACGTGTATGAAAGCGACAAAGCTTCTGCGAAGCTGTCTCCGTCCGCTCCCTCTCCTCTTCCATCTGACCCCCTCGACCAATCGGCGCGCTGCGCGGCAACGAGAGGATATCTTAGGCCGAAGAGCGGTCCTATAACGAGGATGGCTGGGATCAGAACAACGACGGCGTGAAGCCGCCGGAGAACGGATGGGCGAGAACTGGCCATTTCGAGCTCCTCCCACTTCGAGTCAAGGAAATCAGGAGACCGTAATAGGTTTCCAGTTACAGGCAACTCCCAAGTCCAGGAGATTGTAAGCAGCATCCGCGGACTGTCGCCATGATGCGTCGAACTGGAGTTATCATGAAGCTTCTATTCGCCATCAATTACCATCCATTTCTCAGATTTGAGAGGCTCGGGGCTGGAGGTGCGTGAGCATGAGACGATAGCTAAAGGCTGATCGTTGATCGCATCGATCATGTGCGATTCTGTGCGAAACTTTGCGGAACCTCCAAGGGTCGCACAGTCATACCCCTACATATGATCACGCGGGGGAGGGGTGCAAATATTCCCCAATAGTGTGCTTCTGCCAGCCAAGGGCCCAATTTAGGAAGTTCAGGACATTCTTGAAGATGGTTTTGGGAGGGTGCAGTGCGATCCGCTGTTGTCATGATGTCTTGAAAGCCAGCAAGGCCAGTGAAATCGATGCCAAACGTGTTTCAGAAACAGCCCGTTTTCCGAAAAAAGGGTGGTCCTTTGGTGGGAACGCATGACACACAAAATGAAATTTTATCGACTCCCAAAATGATCTATGAGAAGCTTTGATTACCAGATCTGTTTATGTAAACTGAACTACGATCTCTGGATCTATGTCACGCCTGAATCGGCTCCCCCGTGCTGGGATGTTATCTGCACGGCGAGAAAAATGCTGTCAGCCCACGTGCATTCACTAGTCAATCAGGCTTCTCGAAGCGCATAAAGCCGTTACGTAGCGTCTCTTTCCACTTTCCTTCATTTGGTAGACGGACCCGCTTTGCGATTTGCGCCGAGCCGCACGTTGTTTGTCGCGTTCGCCCTCCCGATAACCAATGCCAATCTTCACTAGCGCGTAGATTAAAGTAGCCTTTCGACAATTACCCGGGTATCCACTTGGTGTTAAAGCAGACAGCACCGCGCTTTGGTGTTCGCGAAAACGAGTTCGGTAGCAAGCGAGAACGCGCAATTAGCGAAGACTAAGGCTCGGCTCGGCGAAAATCAATAAGCGAAAACGAGTAACAAGGCGAACTTGTGGTTCGCATGGGCATGGCGGACGCGGGGGCGCTGCGGGAGCAGGCAAAGGAGCTGATGGCGCGGCGCGACAATCTCGAGGCGCAGATCAACGCGATCGCTGCGAGATTGAACGCGCCTGGAGGAGGCGGAACCAACGAGAGCCTGGTGGATAAGGAGGTAGGGGGTTCGATTCTTTCGAGGTGACCTTTGAGGCGACTCATAAGTCATAAGATTGAACGCGCCCGGCAGGGCCGAAATTCCTAGAGAGCCTAGTGGATAAAGAGGTAGTGGTGTGTGATTCTTGCCGTGTGACTGACTCAAGGGAAGTAGAGTATGTACCCGTGAAACGTGGTTGAGACTGATGATTCTCTCTCTCTCTCTCTCTCTCTCTCTCTCTCTCTCTCTCTCTCTCTCTCTCTCTCTCTCTCTCTCTCTCTCTCTCTCTCTCTCTCTCTCTCTCTCTCTCTCTCTCCTCTCTCTCTCTCTCTCTCTCCTCCCTCCTCCCCCTCCCCTCCCTCTCTCCCCCCTCCCCCTCCACCTCCCCCTCCCCTTCCACCTCCGCCTCCTCTTCCCTCCGTTCCCTCTCTCATTATTCCTTTTGCTTCAGGGCTTTCCGCGTGCCGACATTGACATTCCTCGAGTGCGCAGCGACCGGCACCGCCTTGCAAGTAAGGCTCAGCTCATGCCACCACCGCTCGCTCCTCCCTCTCTCATCCCTTTTTCCCTTTAGGGCTTTCCGCGTGCTGACATTGACATTCCTCGAACCTGCAGAGACCGATACCGCCTTGCAAGTGAGACAGCTCATGCCACCACCATTTTCCTCTCCCCCCACCTTCCTCTCCCCCCACCTTCCTCTCCCCCCACCTTCCTCTCCCCCCACCTTCGTTTCTCCCCACCTTCCTCTCCCCTCACCTTCCTCTCCCCCCACCTTCCTCTCCCCTCACCTTCCTCTCCCCCCACCTTCCTCTCCCCCCACCGTCCTCTCCCACCACGGTACCACCTTCGTCTCTCACCTCTACTTGCAAATAGAGTTGAGCAACGACCATGAGACCATGCTAGGGGGGGCTAACTTACAACTGTTAGGGTGACTAGGATGCCTCTTCCGGTGCTGGCCCTTTATCAATTATCTCGTTCATCAGCTTGCCCCACCACCCTCACCCCACGCTCCCCCTTGCTGCCAACCAATCGCAGCGCTCCACACGGACCACAAGCAGCTGACGGGTCAGATCGAGGCGCTGCTGGTGCAGATTCACTCGCAGGCCAAACCCAGGGAAAGCACACGGCCAAAGGCAGAAGCTTCAGCCTCCACTCCTCCATCAGCAAATGCCACTGCCGCTGCCACTCCTGGTGCTGGCACTGCCGCTGCCAGCCCCACTGCAGCTGCTGCTCCCGATGCTGCTGTCTCTCCTTCCATATCTGCTTCTGCAGCAGCACCACTCCCTTCCATAGCAGCGTCCTCTTCCTCCACGCCCTTCGCGGTGGTGGATGAGGTGACACCTGGCAGCCCAGCAGAGGTCGACGGCGTGAGACTGGGAGATAGGCTTCTCCGCTTTGGCTCTGTCGCTGCTGGTGCTGCTGGTGACTTAACAGAAGGAAGGGAAGGGGGAGAGGGGAGCAGGGCGGTCGCAGGGGCTGAGTTGCTGAAGCAGGTGGCTGCAGAGCTGCAGGGAAGTGAAGGGAGAGGGGTGAGCATGACAGTGCTGAGGGCCGGGAATGTTGTCGAGCTGGTGGTGACTCCGCGACGATGGGGCGGACGCGGGTTACTCGGGTATGTGTTTCTGTTTGTTCATGCTCTGATTTACCTAATTGCTCATATATTTTGTGGTCACAAATTTCATGTGTGTGTCTGAGTTTTTCTCCTGTTCCTGTGTCCAGGTGCCACCTCTCGCCGTTATCACATGCCAATTGATCTATACTTGCCTTCCCTATAACTGGGTATGCGTCTCGGTATTGGTTCACTTATTGTTGCGTCTTAATCAACACAATATATTGTACCATGTATACGTTTCTCACAAACTTTTTGCTTTGAGATGTAATGTAACCCACTTCGAACATGCTTTCGCTCTTGTCGAGTTGTCAACTTAGCTGTGGCATACCACGCCCCAAGAAATCGAATTTAGGTCCAAATCAACCGCGTGGAAACCGAACCAACCGAACTTGCTTTTAGGAACCAACCGCGTGTACAGACCAATTCTGGGCCATGGGGCTGCTTGCACCCACCAACCACCAACGTGCTTGCAAGTCGCACGCACCACCCACCACGCCACCCAGACAAACGACTCCCCTCCCCGAGTCTCCTCCGCCCTCTCCAACCTATTTCACTCACGGCTCAACCACATTTGCTCTCTTTGCTCCAGCTGGAGCCTCCGTGCCCTTTTTAGGGTTTCCCTCCCTCGCTTGCGAGGGTTCTCCCGCTTGTTGAAAGCTCCTCGCGCACTCGATCTCCTTGAAGCGCGTTTGGTGCGTTGGATTCGTTACTTGTTTCAGTGCACCGCCGCCGTCGCCGTCATCGTCGTCGCAAAAATATTGTCTGAATCCCGCGAGGTGATCAGTATGGCGGGGCCGGTGGTGAAGGAGGGAGCGCGGCTGTTCCAGGGCGTGGAGAAGGACTCGCTCGCCTTCAAGCTCATGAAAAACATGGTGCGTGCCGAGCGTGTTTCACGCTTTTGAAGGGATCTGATGAATGCGGAGGGGTGTGTTCTGGTGAGCTATGTGGTGCGTCGTTCGGATTTGCAAGGAGGAGGGAGCGCGGCTGTTCCAGGGCGTGGAGAAGGACTCGCTCGCCTTCAAGCTCATGAAGAACATGGTGCGTGCCGTGCGTGTCTTGGGATTGTTGGGAAAGTCAAGAATGCGGCTTGGGTACTGTGAGGTGCTGAGGGAAGTGGTACGGTTCAAGCTCGTGAAGCTTGAAGCTCGTATGGGCTGCGGTGCGCCGTTCAGGATAGCGACGGATCATTGTCTTACGCAGTGGATCTCGCAGCGGCTTTTTTTAGCGGTTTTCGCAGTAGCTTTCGCATTGGGTTTCGCAGTGAGATTCGCAGTGGATTTCACAGTGCCTCTCGCTCTGGGACTTCCAGTAGTTTTTTTCTTACCGGCGGAGGAGATGCGTGTTGTGGCTGCCGTCGCACTGCGTCGCTCGTGCGTAATTCATTCTCTCCCTTCGCTTCGTCTCTGTGTTTTTTATCGCAGGGCTGGGAGGAGGGCAAAGGGCTGGGGAAGAACGGGCAAGGCATCGCGACTCACGTGCGCGTGACGAAGAAGTTCGACACGGCAGGTACGGGGGGAGTGTGTTGTGTGTAGGAACGCAGTAGAAACCGCGTGTAACGAGTCTGCTTTTGAGCTGACTCAGAAGGGGCTGGGGAAGCACGGGCAAGGCATCGCGACTCACGTGCGCGTGACCAAGAAGTTTGACACGGCAGGTACGGGGGGGAGTGTGTTGTGTGTAGGAACGCAGTAGAAACCGCGTGTAACGAGTCTGCTTTAGAGTTGACTCAGAAGGGGCTGGGGAAGCACGGGCAAGGCATCGCGACTCACGTGCGCGTGACGAAGAAGTTTGACACGGCAGGTACGGGGGGGAAATGTGTTGAGAAATCCTTGCGATACCACAGGTACGCGAGGGGAGTGTGCTGTGCAGCTACGCAGTTGACCATAATCGAAGTGACTTGGCAGACCACCGAACTCTTGCCTCCTCTTTTCCTTCCCTTCCGTCCCACCTTTTTTCTCTGTAATAGAGAGAGGAAAGTCATTGTTCATTTTGTCGCTGACGATATTCTCAGCTTCGCAACTTCGTTCCCCTTCCTTTGCACCGTCCGTCGCTCATTCCCCCTTCGCCGCTCCTCCGCTCCCGCCCGCCAGGCGTGGGGATCGCGGAGGCGAAGAAGGAGTCGTGCAATTGGTCCGTCAATACCGCCGTCTTTGACGACCTTCTCAAGCGCCTCAACGTGGTAGGTCTTCGCTGCCGCTCGCCTGCGCTTCGCCTGCACTTCGCCTGAATTTCGCCTGCATGTCGCGGTGGTAAGGTTTCGATCTCTTCTGTTCTCATCCCGTTCCCCACCCCTCTCCTCCCCCCTTTTTTCTTCCGTTCCATTCCGCTGCCTTCGTAACCTTGCCCTCTTCTTACTTCCAGGCAGTCAACGATGGCAAGAGTCGTCAGCTGCAAGCATCTGACTCTTCTCCCTCCGACTCCTGTAAGATGTTCTTTTTTTTTCTTTTCTTTTCTTTTTTCGTTGAACTGTTAAAGCTAACCGCAATCGTCCATGCGCAGTTGTCCTTGAAGGAGGTTGCTGGATCGTTTTTCTTCCCTTTCCCTTTCTCTCAACCCTCCCTTTTGGTTATCCCTCCGCTACTCTCTCCCTCCCGTCGCGCTTCTGTTCCCAGCTGATGACGAGTCCGATGAGAGCAGAAGCTCAGGCGAGGGCGAGGGGGAGGGGGGGGTGAAGATGAAAAAGATGAAGAAGATGAAGAAGAGCAAGAAAGAGAAGAAGGAGAAGGAGAAGCGGAAGCAGGCGGATGAGGAGACAGAGTTGCCGAAACGGCAGAAGCTTGTGCGACCGCAGGGAAGGTCAGAGATGGAGTGGGATGGTGAAGTGGGATGGATGGGTGGATGGTTGGCGCGTGTCTTCATGCTGTTTTTGCATCCCTTTGTTTCGAGTCGAGACGTCTCTAAACTCGTGTGATTCTTTCCGTTTTCGCCCCGTTTTCGTCTCATGTAGTCATCCATCCCTTCACAGTCCTCGCATTGCATCTATCCTATTCCACCGCATTCCACCCCTCCCATGGCAGGTATCACCGCAGGGAGGCAGGCAAGTGCGTCAAGTCCTACTCTACCAACGACCTCTCCGCCATTCTGGTAACCCTCTCCTCCAATCTGAAAACCCTCTTTTCGCCGGTCTGGTAACCTTCCCCATTCTATTGACCCTCTTCACCATTTTGGTAACCCTCCTCGCCATTTTGGCTCTTAGCCGATTTTGTACCGATTTTTCCGTTTCGCCCATCCCTCCCATTCCGCCGCATTCCTTCATCACAGGGTGCCGTCCCCACGTCGTCCCCTCCTGCGCCGCTCACGCCTCGCCTCGAACCAACGGCTACTGCATCTCCCTCCACTCAGTCACTCACCCCTCCCACCACCCCACCTGCCGCCAACGCGTCTACTCCCACAGTGCTTACAGCAGCGGCAGATGAAGCATCAGCCCCCGCAGCAGCAGCGCCAGCAGCAGGGCGGGTACAGAAGCGGGTGGTGAAATCCGCTTCTGATACTGCTCTCTGCCACAGCAACAGCAGCGCTACAGGGTTGAAAAAGAAAGCTGCCGGAGCGGCAGGTTCGGCTGAGCCTAAGAAGGGCGGTTTGCTGGAGCTGGAGTGTCAGAAGCAGTTTGTCTTTCCGCCGCTGCCTGCCGATTGGTGGGGCTCGAGGTTCGGGTTCGTGCGCGGGTCAGGCTCGGGAGCCGGGCGGCTGACGAACGAGGGAGGGGAGGAAGATGGGGAGAAGAAGGCAGGGTTTAGCGAGCAAGACCAGGAGAATCTGTACAACCTCGTGCATGTACGTACAATTCAGGGCTTGGAGGGGTTTAAGGGTTTTTTGGGGGGTTTGGGTTGGTGTTGTACGAGATCAGGCGAGCCACGAGGTTGTCACGTGAATGAGTATTTGGGGAGAGTGCAAGAGCTAAAGCGAGGGGAGGGGGAGAATAGGCTGGTGTTTAGGCAAATTGGTTTAAGGGACTCGTTTCATTCCAGGGTTGAGCCTGAGGAGTATTTCAGGGTTTGTGGAGGGTTTACAGGGCGTATATTTGTGTTTGCGCACGCTTCGAAGGCTTGATGGTCTTTCAAGTGGCCATGGAGTTCAATCTGTCGTGCCACACTAGTGGTGCCACCAAGCCATGACTCGGCTCGTTCGAGTCATGGCCGTGTGCTACTCGTGCTGCTGCTTCTGGCTCTGCCGCCGGTTTGTCATCCCATTGGCTGGCCCTGGCACGCATGCTGCATGGTACATGTGATGTGACCATACGTAAATTCATAACCACAGTAGGAATTATGCAGAGAATGTTCGCCTTCCAAGTGAGTACTGGGAATTGTTGCTGGTTTCTCTTCTTTCCTATAATATATTTTTCCTCCCCCCCCCCCCCCCCCCTCTCCCCACCACCACTCCGTATCTGTGCTTCATAGGATCATGCGACGAGCGGCAAGCAGGGGTTGGGCATTGGGGACCTGCCGCGGAAGGTGGCTGGGGCGCGATGGAAGGGCACCAAACAGACGTTTGAAGACCTTGAGGAGGTTAGCGAGGAGGAGGAGAACGAGGAGGATGGGAATGAGAGCGAGGAGGAGCAGGAAGGGGAGGAGGTGGTGGAGGAGGGAAGAGGGGAAGAGGGGAGCAGGGATGTTGGTGGTGCAGCCGTGGGCGCAGAAGGGGTGGCATTGGCACATGTTGCTGATTCTGTCGCTGCTTCTGCGGATGTGGATGCAGGGAGGGGTGATGGTGCTGGGTTAGCGGAGCAGGAGGGGGGAGAAAGGGATGGGAAGAGCAAGAAGCGGAAGAGGGAGGAGCGGTCAAAGAAAGACAAGGGCGGGAAGGTAGCTGCGGAGGGCGAAGCAGTTCCAGGAGTTGCAGAGAGGCGGAGAGCGGTGATTGGAAAGAGATGGCAGCACAAAGAGAAGGCTGTGAAAGAAGAGGTGAAAGAGGAGGGGATTGGTGCAGAGGAGAAGGGAATGGAAGGAAGGGCAGGTGGCAGCAGGAAGAGGTTGAAAAAGGGTAGCAGCTCTGGCAGTGATGCGGCTGACGGCTCAAAAGATGGAGTTGCGTTGAAGACTCGAGTGAAACGCGCTGTCAAGAAGGCTCTGCAAAAGGTGGGAACAAGTGCTGAACGCGTGTGGGCGTTGGTGCGAGTGGGTTTGCACGTGGGTGCGGATGAGCGTGCATGGGTGCGGGTGTGGGTGCGGGTGTGGGTGCGGGTGTGGGTGCGTGGGGGCGGGTGTGGGTGCGTGGGTGCATGTGTGCGCATTTGCATCTACATAGCCAAGGTTATCCCATAATTCCCGTCCTACAACTAGTCTGATTTACCTCCCTCCATGTCTCTTCTCAAACCCACACCACACCAGCAGGAGGGAGAGGCAGGAGTGGCGTTGGCCTCTCTGCGGGACACAGTGGGGCAGCAGCTGGAGCTGAGCAAAGCAGAGAGGAAGCAGCTCGTCAAGATCATGGACACCAAGGTGCGCGCTAGGGGGGTAGGGTTGCAATGCAAGGGCGAGGCGAGTGCTTCGGGGTTGGGTTGCATTGCGAGATATATTTCTGAGGTGCCTTAAAAGCAGCTGGAGCTGACAAAAGCAGAGAGGAAGCAGCTCGTCAAGATCATGGACACCAAGGTGAGTGGTGAGAGAGTAGGGTTGCAACGCAAGATGGTGTGCTTTCGCTGCCAACATTTCCTTACCACCATGGTGATATCAGATGTGCTTTTTCGGCATGATACTTGTTTGCTTAGCACCTTGTGACGTGGCACTGTTGAACACGCAGCCTGAGCTCTTCTTTCTCTCTGTATGTGCAGTTGCCTGGATGGGCTTTTGTCAGTGTGACTGCTGGCATGGTGCAGCTACGAGGGTGATTGATGGTAATTCTGTCATGCATCACTGACTTACGATTTATTGTGGCTACTAAAACATTATAAAATCAAGGTACATGTACCTGCTGGCTAAGGTCGGCTAAAGGGTTATATCCCCTTCTTAAAAACTGGTGGCTTGAACTTTGTAGTCTATTGAAATACGGCATTTAGTCGGGAGATTTCATTCACTACAAACTCCTGGGGTTATTACACTCTTGTTGGTCAATCTGAAAGGGCTTGCTTTCGAAATTAATCATTCTAGAGATTCCTTTTTCTCTGCACTGTAGCTCATTCTGTCGAGTTAGCTCATCGGCATTCCTCAACCCTTTGTCGTTGATGTCAACGTTCGGTTCAAGCACACTCTCAGGGCGCTGGCAGTTCCGACCGACATTACCAAGACCAACACGGCCAACGCGTTTCAACACGGTGAAGCACGGTTGGAGACATTTCTCAGTTCCACCACTTTAGACCATTAAGACCCGCACTGAACTTTCTAAAGTTCACTGTAAACGAATGTGGCTCATCCTCGCCTTCGTGAGTCACGAATTGTGACCCACCCTCACCTTCACCCTCGAACCACTATCCCATTCCGATTTTCTCCCAGCCCTTAGCTCCCTGCAACTGAATCTGGGCTCCATTTCCACATTCCTCTCCGCATTATCTTGGCAAGGATTCAGCCATGGCGTCCCTCGCGCGCATCCTCTCAGCAGTGGTGTTCGCGGTGCTGACGATGGTGCAGGCGTTGGGGCTGCTGTTCATGATCTACTGGAAGCAGGAGCTCGCGTTCAGGGCTCCACCCGTCACTGAATCTGACGGCATTCTTGCCGAATTTAAGCGCGCGTGCCTCGAATCCGAGAGTGCGTGATGGCACCACGGTGCACCTTCACTGGGCGGGGTTTCTGAATCTTGTTTCGCGTGGATGTGTTTTCGTACTTAAGATAGTAGTCTTATCTCCTCGCCTCGCTTTTACCCTCAAGGTCCTGTTCACAAGGCAGTGGGGGGTTTCGCATTGCACATATCCGCATGCTTTCTCATAAGTGCATACTCACCGTCCGTTTCTCATATCCGTCGCATTACGTCTATCTCCGTCGTCCACGTCAGCAGGCGACTGCCCGGTTCTCGGGAAGGGATTCTTCTTCGGCCTCGCCACGGCGCCTGCACACGTGGAGGACCAGCTCGATGACGCGTGGCTGCGATTCGCTCGGCGCGGAAGCAACGAGAAGCACGACCGAGGGCCTGTCAGCCTCCTTTCCTTCTCTCGCCTCTGCTGTTCGTTTATCTTTTATATTGCTATTCTTCTTGTTTTTTCAGGATATTTAGAATCCTAAAGCGCGACACGGAGCTGTTGGCTTCTTTCCTTTTCTTCGCCACAGCTGTTCTTCCATATTGCTATTCTCCTCATTTCAAATCTCTCCGCGCGTACCCATTAGCTTGTGTCTTTCTTCTTCTAATTTCGCACCCGCCTTTTTTGTTTCTTCAACTGCCTCGGTGCCTCAATGCAAACCTGATACCCGTCGAAACCCATATGCCATGATCCTACTGCCGCACAAAGCCCTAAGCCCGCATTCGCACACGCAAATAGAGCCATGCACCACTTCACACCGAATGGGAAAACCCTCAGACTTGCAACGAACCCACAAATCCTCATCTATGATTCCACGGACGCCTTCTCTCCCACCTCCCAACCACTATCGCCACTCGTATTCAGGTTCGGGCGTGGCACAACGTGCCCAAGCCTGAGCAGCGGCTTCGGTTCTGGACCGAGCCTGAGGTGGAGGTGGACCTGGCGGCGCAAGCAGGCGTGGAGGCCTTCCGCATGGGCGTTGACTGGGGGAGGGTTGTTCTGCGCGAGCCACAGGGGGGGAAGATGGAGGTGAGGGGTTGAATGGGTGGGTGTATGTGCTAGGGCATATGGGGTGTGGATGCGAACTCTTGGGCATGGGGGGCATCTCATGAGGCCTTCCATATGGGCGTTGACTGGGGGAGGGTTGTTCTGCGCTGCGCGAACCTTAAGGGGGCAAGATGGAGGTGAGGGGGTGCGGGTGGGTGGGTGCATGTGGTAGGGTAGGGCAAGGAGGGCATCTTATAGGTGTGCCATGTGGGCGTCGACTGGGGGAGGGCTGCTTTGCGTGAGCCAAAAGGAGAGGTGGATTTTTTTTTTTTTTTTTTTTTTTTTTTTTTTTTTTTTTTTTTAATTGGATAGGTGGGACCGGTTGCGAGGGGGTGACTTCGGCAGGTTTCTGGATGTCGCACAGGGGTGTGGACTGGGGCGGGGTGATGCTGAGGGCGGCTAGTGGGGAGGCTGGGCAAGTGAGGTGTGACTGGGATGAGGTTGTGTGCGCGTTTTGAGGCGCTTGGAGAATGGGTGTGGGCGCAAGAGGATCGTTGTGAGGTGTGCTGATAAGTCTGCACGCTCTCGCTCCCCACGCTCCAAACAAAATCTCCTTCCGACCTTCCCCCACGCCTAAACAGATTGACCATGCAGCAGTGGCGCGCTACAAGGAGATAATGGCGCTGGTGCGGGCGAGGGGCATGCGCGTGATGCTCACGCTCTTCCACCACTCGCTGCCCTCCTGGGCCGAGCCCATTGGCGGCTGGACTAGTGCGACTCTTGTTGGGCACTTCGACTCCTGGACCCAGTGAGTGCGGTGGAGGCGAAGTGAGTGTGGTAGAGTGCGGTGGAGGGGAAAGTGAGTGCGGTGGAGTGGGGTGGAGGGGAAAGTGAGTGCGGTGAAGTAAGGTGGAAGGGCAGTTTAATGATTCCACCACTCGCTGCCCTCCTGGGCCGAGCCCATTGACGGCTGGACCAACGCCTCCCTCGTTGGGCACTTCAACTCCTAGACCCAGTGATTGCGGTGGAGGGGCAAGTGAGCCCGGCTTACAAGCACAATTCACCATGTCGTTGGCCGCACCTCACTCCTCTCTCGTTTCTACCATTTTTCCTTAAAATTCGACTGTAAGCCGTGAAGTACCTCTTAACAGGCTTCCGCATCCATACTCTTCCCTTGCGTTTTCCACCACACCCTTCCCAGGCTGGCAGTGCGGGAGTTTGGTCCACTAGTGGACTACTGGGTGACGTTCAACGAGCCGCACCTCTTTGTCATCCTCACCTACTGCATGGGCGTGTGGCCGCTCGGCGACACTCTTCCCATGCCCCATTCCCCGCCAACCCACCCCACTCTCACCCCTTTACGCCCTTTTCAGGCTGGCAGTGAGGGAGTTCGCCCCACTGGTGGACTACTGGGTGACGTTCAACGAGCCGCACCTCTTTGTCATCCTCACCTACTGCATGGGCGTGTGGCCGCCCGGCAAGGCGCCCTCACTGCTACAATCGGCGCTCTGCATGTCGCCCGTGGGGCAGTACAGCCAGGCCATGCACCACATTGGGGAGGCTCACATCGCTGCCTTCAAGACAATTAAGAAAGGGTGAGTATGAGCCCTTGGGGAAGGGAAGGACCGCTGGTAAAGGGTAGGGCCACTTGGAAAATATCATGTAGGTAGTCTGTCAAGCCTGCTGCAGTCTCCTGTGGGGCAGTATAGCGAGGCCATGCGTCGCATTTGGGAGGCTCACATTGCTGCCTAAGAAAGGGTAGGGGCACTTGAGAAAGGGAAGGACAGCTGATAAGGGGAAGGCGCACTTGGAAATGAGCATGATTTCGTCCCTCCACCCATATGTGTCCTCTTCCCCTTATGGCACCCCGGGAGCGCAACTCGGGTAAGAGTGGCGGCAAACACAGCGTTCATGACGCCATTCAGCGCGCTGCACGTGGTGGTGCGCTCAAACCCGCTCGTGCACCTTTTCCCTTCCCATCCCTACCTGCGTTCCCCTTTCCCATCCCCCAGAAGCGCAGCCCAGGTGGGCATCACAGCCAACACGACGTTCATGATGCCCCTTAGCGCACTAGACGTGGTGGTGCTGCTCTACACCGACTGGACCCTTTACCGCACGTCATTGCAGCACCCTTAGTTTCCCCCCTCCCCCCTCCCCTTTGTCCCATCCCCTTTTCCAGAAGCAAATAGCAGCACTTGCCCTAGCACCAGCTCCAGCACCATCCGCAACAGCAGCTCCACTAGCTTAAACAACCAAAGTCTGAGCAAGTGCAGCTGCCGCTAAAGCAGCAACCAATTCTGCAGCTGCAGCAGAACCTGTCAATTTCGAAGGTGTGCAGATTGACAATGAAGACAAGATTTTTTTGACGGTACAGGTGTCACCGAATGAGAAACCTGGAAGGAAGTTCCAGTCTTGGGTGGAAAGGAGCACGTGGTCTAGTATAACGCGTGTGCTCCATACAATAGAGCCAGCAGCTCATCGAACCATCAGTGTAATTATCAATCAGTATGGTTCTATGAACTGCTCGCTCTATCGTATGGAGCACGCGCGTTATACTGGACCACGTGCTCCCCTCCACCCAAGTCTGAAACTTTCTTCCAGGATTCTATTTCGATGACATCTGTACCGTAAAAAAAAATTCGCCTTCATTGTCAATCAGCACGCCTTCGAGATTGGCAGGTTCTGCTGCAGCTGCAGAAGTGGCTACTGCTTTAGCGACTGCTGCACTTGCTCGAGCTTTGGCTGCATAAGCTAGTGGAGCTGCTGTTGCGGGTGGTTCTGGAGCTGGTGCCAGGGCCAGTGCTGGAGCTGGTGGTAGGGCATATTAGCGAATACCGCCTTCATGACGCCCTACAGCGCTCTAGACGTGGTGGTGCCGCTCTACATCGACTGAATGACGCTCTTCCCTTCCCCTCTCTGCACGCCATCGCCACGGTTTCCCCTCCATCCGCCCCCTAGGAGCGCAGCCCCAGTGGGAATAGCAGTGAATACCGCCTTCATGACGCCCTTCAGCGCGCTGGACGTAGTTGTGCCGCTCTACATCGACTGGATGACGATCTTCCCCTCACTGCACCTCACTGCACCTCACTGCACCACCCTTAGTTTCCCTTTTTGGCACCCCTTGCCCCATCCTCGTCCCATGTTCCAGGAGTGCAGCCCCAGTGGGCATCGCTGTTAATACAGCGTACATGACGCCCTTCAGCGCGCTGGATGTCATTGTACTGCTCTACATCGACTGGATGACGCTCTTCCCCTCACTGCATGTTGTTGCCACTGTTTCCCCCCATCCTCCAACGTTCGCTCTTCCCCAGGAGCGCAGCCCCAGTGGGCATCGCAGCCAACACGGCATTTATGACGCCCTTCAGCGCACTAGACGTCGTGGTACCGCTCTACATCGATTGGATGACGCTCTTCCCCTGGGTCGACCACATCCAGCACCACCTCGACTTCTGTGGCCTCAACTACTATGGCCAGGTCAGCAGCTGGTACGGCCAGGTCAGCAGCTGGTAGCAGCTCGTACTGCCAGGTCAGCAGGTCAAGGACTGTTTCATCTGCTGTAGACAGACGCATGCTGCAGCAAAGTGGAACAACTTCTTGCTCATGCGGTGCTGGAACAGGGACGAACCATGCTGTATGTGAGGTGAGAGGAGTTTTGAGGCGCGCCGCAAAACTCGTTGCAGGGTACGGGTACCTCAAATATGGGTATCCCCATGGCCCTCCACCATTGCCCTTCCTCGAATATGCTGGCCCCCTTCTCTCCAACACACCCCCCTCCCTCCCTTCCCCTCCCCTCCCTCCCCCCCAGGAATTTATGTTAGCAGCAGGCTTGCATAGTGTAAAGAGATTGTTTAGGCGCCTCAAAAAACATCAGAAGCTGGACGTGCCATTTACCCCGACAGACCTACTGTACCTTCTGCATCCTCATTGCCTTCCACTCAACCCTCTCCTCCCATGCCCGCCTTCTCCCCATGACCCCCCCACCCTCCCAGGGGTTCATGTCAGAAGCAGGCCGGGCAGTGTACCCCGACGGCTTCTACAGCATCCTCATGGCCTTCCACCACCTGCTCTCTTCCCCCTGCCCCCCTGGCCCCTTGCCGCCCTCCTTCTGCTCCCCTCCTCTCAGGAGTTCATGTCAGCAGCAAGACTGCAGAGTGTAGATGAAGCAGAGTTTTCCGAAGCAGGCAGGGCAGTCTACCCCGATGGCTTCTACCGCATCCTCATGGCCTTCCACCACCTGCTCTCTTCCCCTCCTCCCGCCATCCTTCCCCTCCCTTTCTCCCAGGAGTTCATGTCAACAGCAGGTCTTCAAAGTGTCGAGGAAGAGGAATTCTCCGAAGCAGGCCGTGCAGTCTACCCTGACGGCTTCTACCGCATCCTCATGGCCTTCCACCGCCGCTACTCGCCCCGCCACCCCAAGCTGCGCTTCATTGTCACGGAGAACGGCTTTGCCGACACTGAGGATAACATCCGCCGCCCGTATCTCATCGAGCACCTGCTGGCGCTGAACGCGGCCATCAAGGAGGTGGGCGACCGGATGGGGCTGGTTTATGCTGTGTGGTCACTGGTACGGTCGTGCTGAAAGGGCTTCATTGTCACGGAGAACGGCTTTGCCGGCACTGAGGATAACATCCGCCGCCCGTACCTCATCGAGCACCTGCTGGCGCTCAATGCGGCCATCAAGGAGGTGCGTGTTTGAGAGGGCTGAGTGACGGAGTGGGCTTAGAACGGCTTCGCTGACACTGAGGATAACATCCGCCGCCCGTATCTCATCGAGCACCTGTTGGCACTGAACGCGGCTATCAAGGAGGCGGGCGGCAGACAAGGTTGCGTTGTATTATGTGGGTACTGTTCTGATTTGACTAGAAACAAATGTACACGCTCCTTCCTGCATGGTCCCTCCTCTTGCAGTTGACCCTTTCCTCTCCCCATCTACTCCCTCGCCTCTCTTCATTCTACAACTCTGTTACTCTACAACTCACCCCACTCAATCTTCTCTACCATCACCATCCACCTCTCCCCCTTCCTCCCAGGGCATGCCCATAGATGCGTATTTCCACTGGACCCTCAGTGACAACTGGGAGCAGGCGGACGAGTCTTGATGCGTGGCCTCCACTACACAACTCTATATCCCACCCCCACTCACTCCTCTCCACCTTCCACACCCCTCCCTTCCCTCTCCCCTCACCACAGGGCATGCCGATAGATGCGTATTTCCATTGGACCATCAGCGACAACTGGGAGTGGGCGGACGGGTCTAAGGGTTTGGTATATTATTACACCCCCACTCACTCCTCTCCAACAACCCCCCCCTTCCCCTCTCTCCCCTCACCACAGGGCATGCCCATAGATGCGTATTTCCACTGGACCATCAGCGACAACTGGGAGTGGGCGGACGGCTATTGCCCCAAGTTCGGCCTGGCAGGCGTTGACAGGGCGTCCCCCAACCTCACGCGCGTGCTGCGCCCTTCGTACGGGCTCTTCAAGGAGGTGAGGAGGGCTCTGAGACGTGACAGGAAAATTGTATAAGTAGCAGGCCCCCCCCCAAACTCACCGGAGTGCAGCGCCGCCCCTCCTGTGGGCTCTAAAGTCGTCTTGTACGGCTCTGTAAAGATGTGAGCAGGGATTTCACGCACCTTAAGATGAGATCCATTCATGCCCTTCCTATGGGCGCTTCAAAAAGGTGAGGAGTGTTGTGATACTTGTCAGAAAAAAACAGTCATCGACCACAGAAGGGGCCTCTTTCAACCTCACTAGCTTGATGTGCCCTCCTCCTATTAAAAGTGATCAACACTTCAACACCTGTCGTGACTCCTGTTGCTTGGTCTCCGCAACTCCACCTGCGTCAAATCGTGGAGTCACAGCTAGTGACAGCGCAGCAGCCGGATGCACCCACGCTTTTCTTCCCCTCAAATCTTCCAATCATTTGCCCCTCCTTCCACTCCCAACACCCCAACACCCCCATCCTTCCCCCGCCCTTGCCCCCTCCCTAGATCGTGGAGACACGGCGGGTGACGGCGCAGCAGCGGGAGGAGGAGTGGGGGCAGCTGCAGCAGCGGGCGCAGCGCGGCGAGCAGCGTTCCTACTGCCGCGCCGTCGAGCCCAGTGGTCGCATGGGTGCTGGTGAGCGCTGACCTGGTGCTTGTGCGTATGGGATGCGTGGGGGTTTGCATGGTTCTATGTGTTGTGTTGCAGCAGGGTGAGCAGCGCTCCTACTGCCGCGCCGTCGAGCCCAGTGGTCGCATGGGCGCTGGTGAGCGCTGTGCTAGTGTGTTGGTGGCATGGCGGGGTGCACAGGGTGGTGCACGGGGTGGTACATGGGGGGTGGATGGGGGGTGCATGGGGGGTGGATGGGGGGCGGATGGGGGGTGCATGGGGGGTTGCACGGGGGGTGCATTGGAGGTGCATGGTGGGTTGCATGGAGGTGCATAGGGAGTTGCATGGAGGTGCATGGTGGGTTGCAAGTCAGCCGTGTCGGTGTATTTTTAGTCAAACGAAAATCAGACCGCTCTTGGTGCTGGTCTCTCCCCTCCTTCTCACCCACTTGTCTGCTACCCTCTCCACCTTTCGGACTTCCTGAATTCGCCCACAACACAGGTCACAGTCTGGCTTTTGACAATTCTAAAAAACCAGGTCACAGTCTGGCACTTGGGCGAGTACAGGTGCACCAAGGCTGCTGTCATGGAAGCGATTTTTTTGGTCGATTCAGGATTTTTCCCTGCCCTCTCAACCCCTCATTGGCTATGCCCTCCTGCCGCCCCCCTCTCCAGATTCCCTTGACTCGCCCACAACGCGGGTCATAGCCACCAAGGACTGGCGCTATGGCGAGTACAGGCGCCCCAAGGCAGCAGTGATGGTGAAGCGTACGGCCAGGATTTTCCGCATCTGGCTGGAGGACCTGCTGATTGCCGCCCAGCAGGCTGCAGATGCTGCCAACTCCCTCCTCTGCCGCCTCATGCATGGCCCTCACCACCAGCACCAGCAGCAGCAGCAGCAGCAGCAGAAGCACCACCACCAGCAGCAACAGCAGCAGGAGGTGGTGGAGCAGCAGTCAGCATGGGAGGAGGTGGAAGCAGACATTGAGATACCGCCAGTAGCTGCTGCTGCCGTTGCTGCTGCTGGTGCAGGTGTTACTTCAGCAGACAAGGATGAGCTTTAGGTGGGGTTGCTCCTGTTTTCGCAGCAGAGGCTCTTGATTGTTGCTGCTGCTGGTGCGGGTGCTGCCCGCAGACAAGGATGAGCTGTAGAAGGGGTTGCACCTGTACTTACAGCAGATGCTGTTTGATTGATGTGCTGCTGCTTTGTGTGGCAGGGCAGGCTCGTTTGTCAAAATATTGGTTGGTATTTGAGACGTCTCAAAACAAGTCTGTCTGTGCCCAAAATATGGCAGTAGGGGAGCTGCTATGGGGGCTGGATGGATGGCTACCTGGAAGGTTTGCTAGATGGGATTGTGATACCGGTAGATAGATGCATGCAGACCAAAACGAATGTGATGCGTTGCTCAAGCTCTTTGTCCCAATAGTAGCACATGTTGGCGTCACACACCTTGGCTCACGTGTTTGTTGTCCAGTATTTTGTACGCTCATACATATGGTAAGTCCTGATTATGGTGCTACCAGGCCTGTAAGGAATTTTCTCGAATTCCTTATCGGGGTTGACTGCTGCGCGTACAACCCGATTTTCGGAGTTCGCACCAGGGCTAATTTTATCAGGGTAAATCACCCTGATACCCTGACTATCAGGGTGGTTTTTGATAGTCAGACTGATGGCCTAGGGTGTTTTTTGTAGGAGATTGTATTACCCTGATGTGTCAGATTTTTTTTTCTAAGGCACACTGATGTCCAAGGGTTTCCGGATCCCGTAGCGAGTTCTACCCTGTAACGCGTAACCTACCCCCCCCTCTTCCCCCGGTACACCCCCCCCCCCCCCCTTTCCCGTAACGTGGGATTTCACCAAGGCAACTTTCGAGGCCGGAATTTCGGCCTTGACAACTCCTGTGCTGGCACGAAGTGGGCCACTATTGGCCAGGTTTACAGTTTCCTTGTTGGCTCCCACACCTCCGCCAGTTGGTCTGTTTGTCTGGCTTGACAACAAGTCCGTGTTAGCAGGAAACCTGGCTGACTCCAGCAACAATGACGGTGGTGCCCAGTGGCCCACTGAGTACCTTGCACGACTGTGGCTAGCTCCTCAGCTTCTTTGCGTGCACGTTAGGAAACAGAGGCGAGATAGGAACACGGGAGAGGAGGATTCACCTTGCAAGAACACAGCACTCCCCGCTCGGAGTGCAACGTAGGCCGTTCTCCTGCTTCTCGTTTGGAGTCATGGCTTCTGCAGAGGAAGGCGAAGGTGAGGCTCCTGACGAGCCTTCGAAAGATGCGCCCGCGCGAACAGGCCTGGATTTCTTGCGCGCGGCTCACGCAAACCCTTCGCCTGTGGTTACGCCAGGCCCGTCATCTTGCAGCAAAGGAAAGGACATTGTGTCCGTGCCGACTCCATCCAAAGCCGACGCACCGGACAGTGCTCCCGCCACTGTCAGCGTGACGGAGGTGGGCGAGTCATCGTCTGCAGCCTCGAAGAAGAGGCGTCGCTACGCGCAGGCCGTCTTACCGTTCGGCACGCCACCAGCAAAACCGACTCCGCCGCCCGCTCCTGTCCAAGCTCCGAAGCGGGTCTCCCGTGAACTCACCGACGCCGAGAAGGCTGAGGAGAAATTCTTGAAGGCGCAGCAGCTCTACATCACGCAGTGGCTGCCGAAGTTCGACTGGCTGCTGCTGGACAAGAACGAAGAAGAGCTGCCCCGACTGCGATGCAGCATTTGCGTGGAGCACGGAAAGGACGATGCGAAGTTCGGCCGAAACGGAACGGGGGGGCGCGATCTGCAGCTCGGATCGATGCGAAGCCACGAGGTGAGCGGCCGCCACGAAGAAGCCATGAAACGGCAGCGGACTTTGATGGCGGAGATTGAGAAGCAGAAGCGGATTGACGACTTCGCCAACCACGACAAGGAGGGGGCGCGACTGACCCGGCTCATGCGCGGCGTGCAGTTCATCTGCGACCACGACGCACCAATCGCCATGTTCCCGAAGCTCATTGGGTTCCTCGCGGAGGAGGGTGTCGAGGACATCCCGCTTCAGTCGTACGGCGTGTACATCACACAGTAAGCAGCCGCCTTTAAACCGTTACAATAGTCAGTGCCTCAATGCATGGTTTCCCATTCTATCCGAGTCTAATGCACTGCAAATCGGCTTGTGGCAGGTACGGTTTCAACGAAATGGCTTCCGCTATGGAAAAGTACCAAAAAACACAGCAGCTGCAGCATCTTCTCGCATCACCATTCATCGGCCTTACATGCGACGAAAGCACAGATCGCGCTCGCAGCAAGCATCTGATCGTGTTCGCCACCTTTCTTAAGAACGGCGTGTCCGTGACGGAGTTTCTGGCGCTGCTGACGGTGCACAAGTGCGACGCTTCGTCGCTGTTCACCGTGCTCACAAGTCACCTGGAGTCTGTCGGGGTGGACCTCAAGCGGGTGTCAGGCATCGGCACCGACGGCGCTTCTGTGATGACAGGGGAGAAGAGCGGTCTTGTAAGCCGTCTGCAAGAGCACGTGCCGCATCTCGTCGGATGTCACTGCGTCGCGCATAGGTGAGCCGCGCTAGAGTGGTGGTTTTGATTAATCTCATGCGATGCTGTAGCACCATGCGCGCTTTAATGTTGTCTTACATTACTCTACCGTCTGGGCGCGCTGCAGGGAAGCCCTGGTCGTGAAGGATGCTGCGAAGGCCTACCCCGACTTGAACATGATCGACGCTGCCGTGCGAGCCGTGGGAGAGATTATCTGCCGTTCCAACATCTGGTACGACAGATTTAAGGAGCTTCAACAGGAGATTCACAAGACCAATCTCGAACACCAGGGACTGTTCAACGTCCGTTGGCTGTCTCGGGGAGACGCTATAGCGAGGCTTGTCAGAGTGTTTGGGGCGGCGATCGTGATGATTGTGGAGTATGGCCACAAAATCGCTCCAACAGTACAGACGTTCAAATTTCACTTCTGCCTGTACTTCCTCGCAGACATTCTTGCAGTGCTCAACACGCTCAACCGCTTCTTCCAGCACCGCAAGGCAAGTTCCTCGGGTGCGGGGTACAACCAGGGTTACACTTAAAGTTGTCGCAGCTAACATGTTTTTAGTGCCCGTGCTGTTCCAGGTGGATATCACACTGGTGGGCAAAGAAGTCGACCACACAATCACCGTCATCACTCACCGTTACATCCAGTACGGTGACACTTTTGGCGGCGGGGTCAGCAAGCACCTGTCCAAGTTCATCAAGCAGCACGGTGGTGACAACCGCACGGTGGTGGTCGAAGGGGTTGACGCGGAGGGGCGGCAAACATCGCACAAGTTTGTGCTGAGCGAGACCCCAATCAAGAAGCACAAGTTTGGGGGCACGCTTGCAGACTGCGAGAAGCTTTGCATGGGGTTCGCGAAGGAAATCGTCGCACGCATGCAGTACCGCATGTGGGACTTGCAGCAGATGGACGGCGCAAAGCTGTTTCAAGTTGACTCGTGGCCGAGCAGAGATGACCAGCGCGAATTGAAGACCCTCGAGTGGCTGGCCGCAAACGACGAGCTGTTTGGCAAACAGCTACCAGGTGAGCTTCGGGCAACCATTACTAATATTACGAGCTGTCCCATGCATGCCATCCAACCTCGGACAGCCACCGATGTCCACTACCAACGCCCCAATCCCCTCCCCCGTCAGGATTTGATTTCAAGGCCGCCAAGAAAGAGCTGAGAAGCTTCATTCACATCATGCCACGCCACCACGCGGGAGAGGATTTCCACCAGGCCCTCCAAAGCATGATGAAGAGCCGGGACGTGCGACGCAGCTATCCGAATCTCATGACACTCTGGCAGGCCCTCGCTGTGCTGCCACTGAGCACAGTGGAGTGTGAGAGGGGGTTTAGTCGCCAGAATATCATCAAGAGCTGGATGCGCACATCGCCGTGCGATGCACGCCTTGGCGACCTCATGACGCTGCACATGCTGAAGTACCCCTACGTCTGGCCGGACTGTCAAACTGTATGTGCAGCATATTGTCTAGGCTGTAGTGGGGTAGCCCATATGGGGTACAACCAAATTAGGGTTAACTACTTGTACTCCTGCATCCTGCTAGTTCATTCATTCCTGCTGCTAGATTCTAACATGGTTTCAGAGCACTAAGGTCCGTAGGACCGTTTTTTTCGGGCCCACCTACCGCTGCGGTTACCGCGCTACCCCACGTACCTGCCTGCCTTGCCTTGCCTTGTGACGTGCTGCACAAGCGCTGCCTCCTGCTGCCCTAGGCCAGCGCGCTGCCCCTAGAGGCCCGTAAGGCCCGCGCGCCGCCTCTACACGCCCGTCAGGCCCGCAAACAGCCCGCTGCTGCCGCGCGCTGCCCGCACCGAGACCGCGCAGCCCGCACCGAGTCGCGCGCAGCCCGCTGCAGCCGCGCGCAGCCCGCACCGAGCCGCGCGCAGCCCGCTGCAGCCGCGCGCAGCCCGCACCGACCCGCGCACAGCCCGCTGCAGTCGCGCGCAGCCCGCGCCGAGCCCACGCAGCCCGCGTCGAGCCGCGCGCGGCCTGCTACGGCCTCGCGAGGCCCGCGCGCGGCCCGCAGCAGCCCGCGCCGAGCCGCGCGCGGCCTGCTACTGCCTCGCACGGCCCGCGCGCGGCCCGCAACAGCCCGCGCCGAGCCGCGCGCGGCCCGCTACTACCTAGCGCGGCCGCGCGCGGCCTGCAGCAGCTCCGCGCGCTGTCAGCTCAGCCCGCGCCGAGCCGCGCGCGGCCCTCTGCCTCGGCCCCGACCTGCCGCTGATGCGGCCCCGCCCTGCAGCTGCCACGGCCCCGACCTGCCGCTGACGCGGCCCCACCCTGCTACTGCCGCTGAGGCGGCCCCGCCCTGCAGCTGCTTCGGCCCTGCTCTGCAGCCGGTGTTGCGGCCCCGACGTCGCCGCTGTCGAGCGCCGGCCCTGCTCGCCCGGTGAGCGCCTGCTCTCCCAGCCTTTGGTGAGCGACTGCCTGCCTGCCTGACGGCCTGCCTGCCTGCCTGCCTGCCTGCCTGGCTGCCTGCCTGCCTGCCGGCCTGCCTGCCTGCCTGCGCGCCTGCCTGCCTGCCTGCCGGCCTGCCTGCCTGCCTGCCGGCCTGCCTGTCTGTCTGCCTGCCTGCCTGCCTGCCTGCCTGTCTGCTTGCCTGCCTGCCTGCCTGCCTGCCTGGCTGCCTGCCTGCCTGCCGGCCTGCCTGCCTGCCTGCGTTCCTGCCTGCCTGCCTGCCTGCCTGCTTGCCTGCCTGCCTGCCGCGCCTGCCCTGCCCGCGCTACTGCTGCTGCTACTGCTACTGGCAGGTGGCCAGATGCAGCTCCAGCGACGTTCACGCGAGCCTCTCACGCCCCAGCAGCTTGATGAGTGGTATACTAGCTGGGGTTGTCGCGGTAGCCGTCGTAGCTGTCGCCCTGGAGCTGGTCAGTTGGGAGCGTCTGGCAGTGGCCAGCTGCAGCTGCAGCGGCGTCCACGCGAGACACTTACGCTCCAGCAGCTCCATGAGTGGTACGCTCAGTGTAGCAGGTCTACGCGTACAGTTCGCTGCCCGTACGTCATTCGCACAGGTGCTAGGACTGGTCAGCCTTGTGGGACGCTTGGTCACACACAGTCCCGCTGCTTCGCCCGTCTGAGCGACGACTGGCGCACAGTGTTTGGCGACGAGGCTGAGCTCCCTACCTGGCTGGAGCTGCATGGACAGAGGGTAGATATCTTTGCGCTTGACTATGATGCTATTCTCACTGCCATGTATGCATTGCCTACTAGTGCTGACCGTGCCTGTTACCTGTGCGTACCGCCTGACCCTGGTATAGAGCCTGCTGCTCTCGGTGCTGGTGAGGCTGCTGCTCTAGGTGCTAGTGCGTCTCCTGCTCTAGGTACTGGTGAGGCCGTGGCTTCAGGTGCTGGTGAGTCTGCTCTCTCTGGTACTGCGCCCACTGCGGTCTCGCACACCTTCACCCTTGACTCAGGAGCTTCCTGCTCCTTCTTTCGCGACTGCACCACACTCACGCCGCTTAGTCGGCCAGTTCCAGTCTCCCTGGCGGACCCCTCCGGGGGTCCAGTCCTTGCCCACTACTCCACGGTTCTGCCGTGTCCGGCCGCCCCGTCCGGCTCGCTGTCAGGTCTTTACCTCCCCTCGTTCTCTACGAACTTGGTGAGTGGAGCTGACCTCCAGGATCGGGGGGTTGACCAGTTCACTCCTGCGAGTCAGCGAGTGACTCACTGTACGTGTGCTAGGACGGGCCGGCACTTGGCCACGTTCACCCGTGCACCTGGCTCGAGTCTGTACACACTGACCACTGAGTCCCCTCAGGTAGCTGCATCTGCGTCTACGTCTGGTCAGCTGGCGGCCCCCTGCGAGTGTCGCGCTTTGTCGCACGACACTCTCCTGTGGCACCACCGCCTTGGTCACCCCTCCTTGCCTCGCCTGCGTAGCATGCACTCTCGCTCCCTGGTCTCTGGTCTCCCCAGGTCTCTGCCTGCCCTCCCTCCCTCGCCTGCGCCGCCCTGCATTCCTTGCGTCGAGGGGCGGCAACGCGCCGCTCCTCACTCCTCCTCGTTTCCTCCCACAGAGGCTCCACTGCAGACGCTCCACCTGGACGTGTGGGGCCCAGCCCGCGTCCAGGGACAGGGCCACGAGCGGTACTTCCTGCTGGTTGTCGACGACTACACGCGTTACACCACGGTCTTCCCCTTGCGGAGCAAGGCGGATGTCCCTGCTGTTTTGATCCCCTGGATCCGCGCAGTTCGTCTCCAGCTCCGCGAGCGGTTCCGGTCGGACTTTCCTGTCCTGCGTCTGCACTCTGACAGAGGTGGTGAGTTCTCCTCCGACCTCTTGGCAGCCTACTGTGCGGAGCACGGCATCACCCAGTCGTTCACGCTTCCGGCCTCTCCGCAGCAGAATGGGGTTGCTGAGCGCCGCATTGGCTTAGTCATGGAGGTCGCTCGTTTGCGGTCCCCCATTGGCTTAGTCATGCGGCTGCCCCCCATTTCCTGTGGCCGTTTGCGGTCCGGTACGCCGCGCATCAGCTCAACCTCTGGCCCCATGTCTCCTTGCCGGAGACCTCGCCCACACTGCTGTGGAC